TGCTCGATCGGTCCCCGAGGACGATGTCCGTAGTAGGACCCCGGTCTCGGTCGGCGTAGAATGTCGATTTTCTCGGCGAGCGCGAGAATCTCGTTGAAGTTCGAGAGTCCGCGCAGCATGATTTCGTGCGAGATATCCGGCTTCAGCCCTCCAACGTAACGGTCCACCCGCTCCGCTTCGTGCATGTAGCCGACCTGCTCGCAAAGTGCGAGAAAACCGCTCGTGTAATCTTGAACCGACCCGAGCTGCCGCCAAGTGCGCAATCTCTGACGCACCGAAATAGAAGCCGCGATCGGCTCGAAGCGCGCCCGAAGCCCTGCGCACCACGCATCCCACGTGCTGTATTGGGCGGTCTCGCAGAATGAACTCCAGGTGACAGCTGGACCCGTGGGCCCTTCCTCTTGCGACGGTGGCTCGTAGGCGCGTGGCGACGTCACGATGACTCGCCACCAGTCCATGGCGGGGCCCCTTAGCAGCGAAACGGCATACCGAATCTTCGCTGCGTCCGACTCGACGTAATTCGCGTCGAAGAAGACGTTCATCGTGAAGACCCACGATTGAACCGTCGGACCTCCACGCTGGCTCGGGTCGAAGCAGGGCGGGCGTTGCGGCTTGAGCGGCATTGGCGCCATAATGGCCTGTTCGCCACTTGTCGCCGCGAACTCCACGTGCCGACGGGCTTCGCGAGGCTCCCGCGGGCTTGGCGCGACCCTGTTTCCTCCCATGCCAGGCATTGGTTGGGCGGCGCTTTCACTGGTTGCACCTGAGCGCTGTCCCACGCTGTCATGTTGTGTTGGTGTACCGGACGAGATGACGATTGGCTCGTCCGATTGTGCATGTGCATTTGTTGGTGCGTGTGGTGCTGCTGGAGTGTTCACCGTAGATTGCTGACGCGCGGAGTCACGCCCCGCCGTGAGCGTCGCAATTTCGAGCGCTGAATCTTCGAGTTGGCGCACCAGACGGTCGAGCTGCTCCTGCGTCAATGTTGCGAGCGTGATTTCGGCCATGGCGGGGGTGTCGGGCGAGCTCAGCGAGAGCCTCGGTCGTGGCCGTGCGTGCTTACGAGAGAGCACTACGAGCGGCGGTGCTGTGTCGCTGAGAGACGTCTACCCCCCCCCAAAAATTGAGATAGTGGGGAAGCGAAGGTGTGGGTGCGGTCCGAGAAGAGATCGTAGGCTCTGAATACCAAGTGTTACGAGTGCAATTGAGTGAGCGAGCGAGAATTGCACTATCGAAGCAAGAGTACAATGAGCGAAGGTATGAGCGAAGAATATATAGCGAAACTACAGTGGTAACGGTAATGGACTGTGGTTGTCGCGCGACGGGCCTGGGACTGAGGTTGGGGAAAATGTCGAAGCGGAGGCCCGGAGCGCGGGTTACCCGCCGAGCCGTGAGGTCGGGGTGCGACGTGCAAAGGTGGCGGGAGGATTGTCGATGCGAGAGTCGCGAGTGGTAACGGTGCTGACTGTGGTGCTACAGTGGTGTACGCGCTGAGCGGGGACGCGAAGTAAGGAAAAGAAATTTTCATTACACATGCCCATGATGACACATGCGCACGATGAGGTTGCACCTATAAATGGATTGGTATGTGTGCTTCAATGGTCAATTAACACACCGAATTCTCCCGGTTTCAAACGACACAAGCTAATTGGGCTGATTTGTGATCTACTCGCCTATCAGCAACGCCCAAACGCACATCGTAAGATCATAATTATCATAAAAAGCCACCCAAGCACAAACCCAAGAACAACATCATGCTACACACCACTCCCCCTCAACTAGAGAGACAGCTACCCTTATGTTGCTTCCACTGCCTCCATTCTACCCCACTTCCGTCCTTGCCATCCCCTCTTCCCTCCCATCCTAGATATCCCCAATGCCCCACCCATCCTATCCCCAATACCCCACCCAACCCTTGAATTCATCGGCCAGACTTTTATCCCACACATACGGCACTAGCACTCACTTCGCCTAACTTCGCCTTGCCTCGTTCCAATGGTAACCACGTCGCCACACCCGCTCCTGCTCCATCTTCACCTTGACAAGTCACTTCTTAATCTCCTCTTCCAGCATCAGCACCGCAAACTAGGGTTCTCGACCAGAAACACCCGAGCTGCTTCTTTCATCCCCTCTTCCATCAGCGGCACCACGTACTGGTGACCCACTTGACTCACCCGAAACACCCGAAAGCGAATTCTATCCTACTCCGTCTTCACCTTTACGAGCCGCTTCTTGATCTCCGCTTCCAGTAGCGGCAACACGTACTGGTTAACGTAGAACGCCGCCGTTACCGCCCCCGCGTGGCCGGGAAACATGGCATTCGCCAACGCTTTCGCCGCCTTCTTCGCCGCAGCTCTCACCATCGCCTTCTGCTTCTCCGGATCCTTCGCCGCTTTAATGGGGTCTTTCATTACCTTGATCGCGTCGGCCACGGCGTCCCCAGCGAGTTTCGCGGCCTTGTCTTTCATCTTCCCGGCCAGGCTCATATCGGGATACGCATCGAAGACCCGTTTGGGCTTCGGTGTTTCGGCCAACACGCGCCGTCCTGGCGTGATGGTGCTAGCGGCACGGGTGCTACTACTGTCAGGACCGCCGCGCTCGATGCGTGGCGCCGTCGGATCCGCAGCAGCGAGGCTAAGCGTGAAGGCCGCGATGAGGGCGAGGAGAGAGAGATAGCGGAGCGCCATGGCGGATTAGATGCTTAGAAGAATTTACGTTGACGCTCTGAATGAGAATTTGTTATGAACGTGACGTACCGTGAAGTGATTTCGCTCTACGTGCTGGAGTGCTATGCCAAATCTCACGGTGAGATTTGCAAAGGAAATTGAATTCTGGGATGTGGGAGATTCGAATGATGGATGGGCTTCACAACTGAAGTAGCTTTTTTATACTTGTCGAGGCATGGCTGTGCAATCCCGACGGATGCGCACAGGCGGGGGTAATGAGAGGTCCCTATCAGAGCGACACGATGGGAGACGGCGTAGCATGCGGCGTTATGCAAGCCACAAGTCATGAGCACTTGCTCGGCGTCCCACAAAATAATTGTCCGACGGAAGTTGAAAGGGCAGCTTCAATAATTTCCCCGAATTTCTCCCAACGAGGAAAGAAAACGGTGGGAATTGAGTTGTGCACCCTGGTTTCCACTTCATCGCCCGCATGATGCGGAGCGAGCTTCGATTGGGTGCCTTGTACGCGCCTCGCGCCTTGTAATGTTGCTGGCCGCGTATCACGGTGGGAATAATGCAGGAGGAAGACATTACACGAAACAAGGAAACACTTCTCCTGTGTACATTACTTCACTAACACTCTACATATTCGTGCATTAGCCACAACTCAACATGAATTACCTATGTTTGACGTGTTTTAAAAGACTCATGGTTTGGTTCATTATATGAGCACATAGATACAAGATTATGGGATGGGATTGAAGCTGGATTTAGGGTATGGTATATCCAATTTAGGCTGCTTGAAGAACTGGAAAAATGCTTCAAACGTGGATGACAACCTGAATGTTTTACATGCCCATGGTAAGTATACTTGTGCTTCATTGGACACCCAATCAGTCAGCATACCCGAATCCTCCCTTGTTCGAAGGGCACAAGCTAATTCAGCTGACATATTCTGCAATGCTCAATGCACACCATAATACCATATAATTCTCATGAAATTCCGAACACAAACAGCCCTTACACTAAACTCCTGAAGCACATCAAGCTACACAGCACTCCCCTCAACTAGAGAGACCTCCCCCGTATGCTTGCCTACTATTCTCGTTCAGGTTCCCGGCATTCGCGGTGGCCGTTCGCCAATGACATGCGCACATCAGCGACCGCATTTTCGCATCTCAGTCCATCTCCGTGGTCCTTTGATTGGCGCTCCGCTTTACCCAATGCGATCCTGACCGTTCATTCCAGGGACCTCGGAATCTCAAATTCTTTCACAGACTCGGAAATCAGTAACCGTTTAGCTCGAGCCGCAATATCGAATCTTTCGTACTATGCTGTTGCGAGCTCGAACAATCTCCTACGGATGACTCGCTCGATCATTTACTCAGTTTCACATTTACTGATAACTTCTCCCGGCGCTAGCAAGCGTTCAAACAAAAACGATGGAAACGCCTTCGACTTTCCTCGCACGCCTCTTAGCAGACACGTCATCACGAGCGGGTTCGCTAGTCAGAAAACGACACGTGGCCTCAGAAGCTGCGTCCCCGCACGGTCGCTCAGCGTAAGAAGTGCAGAGACGCACAGTAGCAAACGATACACAACGGAATCTGCCATCAACGTTACAGATTCGGGCGAAGAGTTGGACACCGTGACGCTACCTCCAAATGTGACAATAACGGGAGAATCCGTAGGCGCTGTATCGGACCTTAGCCAATCCAGTTCTCAAAGTGTGACAATAGCGGAGGAGTCTGTAGACGGCGTGGTGACTCGGAGCCAGGCCAAATCCCGGCTGGATGCATTTCTGGCAGCACAGGGGGAGCGCGTCAGCCGTGCCAGGTGGCAGGACGCCATTCGCCAAGGGAAAGTGCTGGTGAATGGCAGCGTCCAGAAGAAGGTGAGAAGCAGGGAGGGTACAGCATGGAGGGTGAAGCAGGGAGGGTGAAGCAGGGAGGGTACAGCAGGGAGTGCTTAGAGGAAGGGTATAGCAAACTAGCAGGCAGGCATGCAGTCAGAAAGGCAGGCAAGGTAGTTCTCTGGCACTGGCTGCTCCATACCCACCAGCCCCCTTATTAAAACCCGGGGTCCAAGAGTTTCTAAGTTAGGAAGCTTGGTTGGGGAAAGGGATGTGAGTGGCGCGCGAACCAGGGACGTTTCAAGATTTGTGGTTGGGTATCGCAGAGCCTGAGTACCTCGCGTGTGTAGCCAGATCTTGAAAGCAACTTGCGAATTAGTTCGCAACAGTTTCGCGTGAGCTTCAAAACTGTGTGCGAATTCGACACTGCTTTCGTTTTCGCGAGTACAGTAATTTCGCGTGGCGAAATTTGTCCCGACAGAATGCGAACTGAGTCAGTATCTACTGGGTCACCCCCAACCAAAGTTAGGAAGGTTGAGGCAGTTTTGTGCTGTTTGGGACCCCAATTTTAACCTTCACTTCAACCCTTCTCTCTCTCCTGAGCCACAGAAACAGAGAGGGAGCGCCTTGTCTGTGCAGGCAGAGAGAGGGAGGGAGACATAGCCAACGGCTGTCTTGCGCTTCCTTACTCGTTAGTCTTCCTTCTCTCCTTCCTCCCCCCTTCCCCTCCCCTCCAGTAAAAACCTTCATCCGTCGTGGGACAGGGTGCAATGGGAGTCTCGCTTTTCGCTCTCACTCCTCCCCATTCCTCCCCGCCTCCAGCCGTCGTACGCAGTGAGGGAGGGCGACAGGGTGCAGGGCAGGCTGGCTCCGCCCCAGTCACAGCACGCGTTGGAGCCATCCGCCATTGCCCTGCACGTGGTGCACGAGGATGACCACGTGGTGGTGGTCAATAAGGCACCCCACATGGTAGGCTGTCATGTCTCTGTCATGCTTCTCTTCTATGTCACAGCACACGTTGGAGCCATCCCCCATTGCCCTGCACGTGGTGCACGAGGATGACCACGTGGTGGTGGTCAATAAGGCACCCCACATGGTAGGCTGTCATGTCTCTGTCATGCTTCTCTTCTATGTCACAGCACACGTTGGAGCCATCCCCCATTGCCCTGCACGTGGTGCACGAGGATGACCACGTGGTGGTGGTCAATAAGGCACCCCACATGGTAGGCTGTCATGTCTCTGTCATGCTTCTCTTCTATGTCACAGCACACGTTGGAGCCATCCCCCATTGCCCTGCACGTGGTGCACGAGGATGACCACGTGGTGGTGGTCAATAAGGCACCCCACATGGTAGGCTGTCATGTCTCTGTCATGCTTCTCTTCTATGTCACAGCACACGTTGGAGCCATCCCCCATTGCCCTGCACGTGGTGCACGAGGATGACCACGTGGTGGTGGTCAATAAGGCACCCCACATGGTAGGCTGTCATGTCTCTGTCATGCTTCTCTTCTATGTCACAGCACACGTTGGAGCCATCCCCCATTGCCCTGCACGTGGTGCATGAGGATAGTCACGTGGTAGTGGTCAACAAGGCTCCCCACATGGTAGGTCTTGTCTTATGCGCGCTTCTCTACTCCCCATGCGCGTGCAGCTGTGCCAACCCTCTCGGTTGTGTTGCGCTGTGATGCAAGGACTCTTCCATTCATTGTGCTGGATGTGGCACGGCATATCATTGCTAAATGGTTCTCTTCTTTTTTTGTTCCTTTACCTTTCCTGTTCTAGGCTGTGTATTGGTCATCCATTAACCCTACCCAACCTCGTGGCACCTCGCTGTCTGCTACCTGTCTGATTGCCCCGCATTGTCCCCTCTCATGCACCCCTCTCATGCACCCCTCTCATGCACCCCTCTCCTCCACCCCTCTCCTCCACCCCTCTCATGCACCCCTCTCCTCCACCCCTCTCCTCCACCCCTCTCCTCCACCCCTCTCCTCCACCCCTCTCCTCCACCCCTCTCCTCCACCCCTCTCCTCCACCCTTCTCCTCCACCCCTCTCCTCCACCCCTCTCCTCCACCCCTCTCCTCCACCCCTCTCCTCCACCCCTCTCCTCCAGAGCAGGTGGTGCATCCCGCTGCAGGGAACTGGCAAGGCACCCTCGTGAACGCACTGCTGCATCATTACCAGCTCTCCTCCTCCTCCTCCTCCTCCTCCTCCTCCTCCTCCTCCTCCTCCTCCTCCTCCTCCTCCTCCTCCTCCTCCTCCTCCTCCTCCCCCTCATTCCCTGGGCTCGATTCACCCTCCATGAAAGGAGTGGGGGAGAGGGTAAGGGACTCTCAGACTTCTCTGGCCGCAGATTGGGATGACGAAGAGGATGAGGAGGGGGATGAGGATGAGGAGGAACTTGAAGAAGGGGAGGAGGAAGAGGAAGCGCAGGAGGGACAGGGAGCAGAGGTGGGAGTCAGAGCAAGCCTAACAGGGGGGCTGGATGGGCTGGATGTGCGGCCAGGGGGGCTGGATGTGCGGCCAGGGGGGCTGGATGTGCGGCCAGGGATAGTGCATCGGTTGGACAAGGGAACCAGCGGGCTACTTGTGGTGGCCAAGGTGAGGCGAAGGGAGGTGCGGAGCGGAGGAAAAGAGGGGGGCTGGCTTGGGCTTGGCTTGGGCTGGGCTGTGAGATGACAGGGGGCCTGGGCTGGGCTGGATGTGCGGGCAGGGATAGTGCATCGGTTGGACAAGGGAACGAGCGGGCTGCTTGTGGTGGCCAAGGTGAGGCGAAGGGAGGGAGGCTGGGTGCAGCACCGTTGCATCACTCACTCTTACTCTCATTCCCCCTCACCCCTCACCTCCTCACCACCTCACCTCCTCATCTCACCACCCATCAATCCCTATCTGCCAGGACCCCTTCAGCCAGGCTCACCTGAGTGCGCATTCAAGGCTCGCACCGTGCACAGAAGCTACCTCTCCTCACCACCAACCACTCCTCATTTCCTGCTTCTCTTACCTCCTCACCTCCCTCCTGACTCCCATTCAGGACCCGTTCAGCCAGGCTCACCTGAGTGCGCAGTTCAAGGCGCGCACCGTGCACAGAAGCTACCTCTCCCTTGTCATCGGTGAGAGTGCATTGCATCACACGGATTGCTCGTGTGTATTGAGTCGATTAAAAATGCATACAAGTGCGCAGTTCAAGGCGCGTACCGTGCACAGAAGCTACCTCTCCCTGGTCATCGGTGAGACCGCGAGAGTGCCCTAGTGTACTGTGAGTCGACTCAGTTTAGGGTGAGACATCTGAGTGCGCAGTTTCAAGTGGGCGCAGTTCGAAGTGGGCGCAGCGCAGTTCACAGAGGCTACCCTCTTGTCCCTAATTGCATCGCGTGACAGTTGCTTTCTGGCTCCTCAAATCTTGTTCTGTTTAGTTTTCAGGGCTAGATTTTAATCTCGCTCCGTGCACTCCCACATGCATCTCGTTCCACCCGAACCGTGCAGGCACGCCGTCTCCTCTCGCCGACCGTGTGGATGCGTCCATTGGTCGAGACCCCAAGGACCGCTTTTCGAGTCGACTCAAAACCCCACTCCCCCCCCCCCCCCCGCCCCTCTCCCCCCTCCTCCCTCCCCACCCATGCATGCAGGCACGCCCTCTCCTCTCTCAGACCGAGTGGATGCGCCCATTGGTCGAGACCCCAAGGACCACTTTCTGAGTCGACTCAACCCCCCCCAACCCACCCATGCAGGCACGCCCTCTCCTCTCTCAGACCGAGTGGATGCCCCTATTGGTCGAGACCCCAAGGACCGCAAGCGCATGGCAGTGCTGCCTCTCACCGGCTCTCACCGCAGCAGACGAGCCGCTAGCAGGTGAGATCGAAGCGCCTTTCTCCACGCACATTTACGCAAATACCGTTGCGTCACATCACTCCCCAAGGACCGCAAGCGCATGGCAGTGCTGCCTCTCACCGGCTCTCACAGGAGCAGACGAGCCGCTAGCAGGTGAAACTGGAACGGCTCTCTGAGTTTGGCTGTTTATAAAAACGGCACTGCTCCCTCACTCAGGGTCCCATCCCACAGGAGAGGAACACGAGCCTCTAACAGAGTCTCGACTTTTGTCCTAGGGTGGGAATCACCCTGGGATTACTCACCAATTCCATGCAAACTTTGCTAAACCCTGCGTTAAACCCTGCGTTTCCTGACACACCTCAAAGCCCATGGCAGTTCATGAGCACTCCAACGAGTCCGCGGTTCCTGTTGGCCTTGAACTGAACTGCGCCTTTGCTGCCTGTCATGACTCGTGCCTGGCATGCGTGTGACTGATGACCAGGTATCGGGTGGTGGAGTCACTGGCAGGGGGAGCAGCTGCGCTGGTGGAGTGGCGGCTGGGGGCGATCTGTTGATACCATTGAGCCGATCGTCATGCGTGCAGTCACCTTGTTCTGCCTGCCATGTCCATGTCCCATGCGTGTGACTGACGACCAGGTACCGGGTGGTGGAGTCACTGGCAGGGGGAGCAGCTGCGCTGGTGGAGTGGCGGCTGGGGGCGATCTGTTGATACCATGCGTGCAGTCACCTTGTTCTGCCTGCCATGTCCATGTCCCATGCGTGTGACTGACGACCAGGTACCGGGTGGTGGAGTCACTGGCAGGGGGAGCAGCTGCGCTGGTGGAGTGGCGGCTGGGGGCGATCTGTTGATACCATTGAGCCGATCGTCATGCGTGCAGTCACCTTGTTCTGCCTGCCATGTCCATGTCCCATGCGTGTGACTGACGACCAGGTACCGGGTGGTGGAGTCACTGGCAGGGGGAGCAGCTGCGCTGGTGGAGTGGCGGCTGGGGGCGATCTGTTGATACCATTGAGCCGATCGTCATGCGTGCAGTCACCTTGTTCTGCCTGCCATGTCCATGTCCCATGCGTGTGACTGACGACCAGGTACCGGGTGGTGGAGTCACTGGCAGGAGGAGCAGCTGCGCTGGTGGAGTGGAGGCTGGAGACGATTTGTTGATACCATTAAGCCGATTTCAATGCATGTAGTCACCTTGTTCTGCCTGTCATGCTAATGCGTGTGACTGACGGCCAGGTACCAGGTGCTGGAGTCACTGGCAGGAGGAGCAGCCGCGCTGGTGGAGTGGAGGCTGGAGACCGGGAGGACGCACCAGGTGTGTGGGTGTGAGGCGCCTGCTGGGCAAGTTGGGGGTACTAGATGAGCGGGCAGGCAGGGAGCAGCTGCGCTGGTGGAGTGGAGGCTGGAGACCGGGAAGACGCACCAGGTGGGTGTTGGGGATGGGAGTCCTCAGGTGCATGAGTTGGGCGTGTCAGGTGGGTTGGAGGCGTCATGCTAATGCATGTGATTGGTGACCAGGTATCGGGTCGGGTGGTGAAGTCACGTGCAGGAGAAGCAGCTGCGCTGGTGGAGTGGAGGCTGGGTGGGTGGTAGGTAAGTGTCACGGGGGGTGAGGAGGGGTTGTGAAGGAGTCTGAGTCGTACGATTGGGACTATGGGACCTGTACGGAGAATGATTTGTTTTTAACTATGGGACTATATTTGTTTTCCACGGGAGTATTCTGTGCCAACTGTAAGATTCACTGTGTTACCATGATTGTTCTCCCCTTCTCTGCTGTCTTGGACCTACACTGTTGCCAGATCAGAGTGCATGCACGGCTCCTGGGCCATCCGTTGATCGGCGATGACACGTACGGTGGATCGACACGCCATGTGTCATCTCGCCTCCTGGCATCGTTGCCCTCGTCTTCACCTCTCCGCCCTTCTGTGGTTCAGTGGATTGATGGGCTGGATCGCCCCCTGCTTCATGCAGCCACACTTGGGTGAGTGACAGAAACCAAGTAGTATATGGGTTATGGGTGCGGGATGTATCTTATATATATGGGCTCTACGGACAGTGTACGAAGCACTCACGGATGTTTTCTTTGTTCTGTGTGAGCAGGTTTGTGCACCCACATAAACTTGAATTCTTAACATTTGAAGTTGCACCTCCGACTGATTTTATCAGGGCATTGGATTTACTCAGATCGTTGTGACAAGGTTGGTATGCACTGGTCATATGGCTCATCATGGTTGCATTGCATGGCGAAATAATATACAACTGCTCTTAAAGTAGTTATGAGTAGCCTCATAGTGCGGCTACGTGGTCAACGCAGTCTCAGCAAGATCTGACCAACCCCAGACCTTCTCTCATGCCCGTTTCGCAAGATTCTAGGGACACGTAGGCTGGGAGAGTGCACTTTTGTCGCGCTGGATGCATGACCTTGTCGTTAACCAATAGCTACACAATCCATTCCACGTGCCATGTTCTCCAGCTTCTGACGGCTGAGTAGGCATTTTGCTGTAGGTTTTCTTGGCTAGATTCCGGCTGAGTAAACCTGCTCTCCTGACCGAATTTTTGAAGATTACCTGGTGGAACAGAACGCGCCCTGATTTAGAGCTCTCCTGCTTCCCGTCCTTCTCACACATCCTCTTCTTGCGACTGCAGCCGCTTCATTTTGCTCATTTCCCCCAAATTCAATCTGCTTTCTTAGCTCGTTTTCCTTTGGTTTTGTAGCTTCTCCACGACCACGTGTCGTAATTTCCACCTTTGAACTCACCGATTCCCACAACCTAGGTGGCACCGCCGACAAAAAGATCACCTCACTGCGAACGATTATGGAGTCCGCAAAGCCGGCGATTCGTGTCTACGCGGCGTCTGATTCATACGGTGCAATTCTTCGAAGCGCCATGGTCAGTTATCTTCGCTCGAAAGGCGTAGAGGTTGAAGACTACGGCGAAGACAAGTACTACACGGCAGCTGAACGCGTCGCTAAAAGCGTCGCAGCCGGTCGCTCGGCGACAGATTCTTCTACTACGTGCGACACACGCGGGCTGCTCGTGTGCGGAACCGGCACCGGCGTTACAGTTTTTGCGAATAAAATCCCGACAGTGTACGCCGTGCTGTGCGACACTGCTGACGTGGCGAAGAACGCCAGGTCGATTAATAACTGTAACGTACTCTGCATGGGTCAATTTCAGACTTCCCCTGAGAAAGGGCAAGATATTGTGGATGCGTGGCTCGCGACGGAATTCAAAGCGCCATGTCCGGCGAGTGACAACCAGCCGTGGAACAAAGAAGTATTTGATTTCCTGACAAACGCGCCTGACGAAATGGCTGCAATAGGGAAGCCGGAATCTCCACAGATACCTAAAGCTTCTGAACCAGGATGTGGGGTCTCACAAGAGGGCAAGGCCGCAGCATGAAAAGAGCCGCAGCAGAATTAAACTCTTTTCAGGACAGTGTAGAGGTCCTATCCTCTTTCATTTGCTACGAGGCCTGGGATGTGAAGGAAGAAGGCATTTGTGCCAAGTGCAATAGAATATTGATGCGTGGTGTGGTGTATCAATTCTGGTTGTATTATATTTGGAAGTGGAAAGTGTTGATAGGATGTGAATATACATACATACACTTCATAGCAAAACTTCAGAGTGCAAAAGCTCCAAGCTATTCTCGGCAGGTTTGGAATGAGGTCATTAGATTGATGAATGAACTCAGGGTTGAGATCTTGTACATTATTGAGCGGCAGAACGCTGCGAGTGAAGCTAAGGTCGTCCGTGGTTCTCAGTGCAGCTTACGTGTGTGACTGAAAGTGCGGAAGAACGACCATGCACAGCGGAGCAGAGGAGCAGAAGCGGATGCTTGCATTGCATCTGCTTGCGTTTCAACCAAAGCCCCCACGGGCCCACGCCAAAACATTGCACACGTATTGGCCCATTGCAAACATTTCACTCCCTCCCCACCAACCCCACCCATACCCCTCCCTCCAGGCTGCACTGCACCCAATTTTCATCGCCTCAACAGCAACCATCACTGCTATAATCTCATAGTGTGCACCCACAGAGGCCCCGTAACATATCATACACGTGCCAGTCAATAAAAACAACAGCTGGCTGACGCACGCAGATCCGATCGTCTGACGCCGCCGTTCCGTCAGTCCCACACATGCTAGTTAGTCACACACATGCTAGTTAGTCACACACATGCTAGTTAGTCACACACATGCTAGTTAGTCACACACATGCTAGTTAGTCAACAGCACTTCAGTTCTGAGTCGACTTGAAAGCCACTCCGTGGTAGCAGGGCGTTTCAGAGACTCCTCAGCAAAGTGACTTTTGAGTCGACTCAAAAGTCGACTTAACAGCCACTCCGTGGTAGCAGGGCGTTGCGGGGATTCCTCAGCAACAAGCATTCAACGCCTGCCCGCCACCCCTTTTGCACACCATGCTCTGCTGATCCCTCCTCAAAGCACGCCTTCCACTCTGCGCCCCTCGTCCCCCTTTTCTCCCCCACCCTTCTCCATCCTTCTCCCCACCCCTTCCCCTCCCCCCTTTTCTCCACCCCTGTTCTCAATCATCTCAGCGGCTTTCACGACCTCTCCTGTCACTCCTGTCTACCTCAATGTTAGCTCCATATCCCACAGAGCGCATCCTCTCTGTCCTTTTCTTCCCCCCTTTTTTCCCTTCCTGCCCCTCTTGCTCCATCACTTCAGTGACTCGATGGACTCATCATACACCGACCGTGTGTCATCACATCAGCCGCCCCTCTCCTGTCACTCCCACACCTCCAAAGCTGTGCCATCCTCCCCAGCTTCCATCCTTCTGCAACCGGCGCTCCATCATTTCAGTGCCTCCATGGACTCATCATACACCGACCGGTGAGTCATCACATCAGCCGCCCCTCTCCTGTCACTCCTCCAGCTGCCCCTCACCACCTCACTCTCTTCCTCCTCTTCTTCCTCCTCCTCCTCCCCATCCTCCCCACCCTCCTCTCGGAACATATTCTCACTCTCCTCCGCAGTGGGGCTGCTGATGGGGGACAGGGACGGAGAGCTCTGCATGCGCCTAAGCGACTTGCGCTGCTGCTGCTGCTGCTGCTGCTGTTGCTGGAGGGGAGGGGAGGGATGCTGCGAGGGATGGGACGGCACGTGTGAGTGGGAGGTCGAGCGCGAGTGTGACTGTAAAGGGGGCCGGTCGGCAGAGTGCAGCAGAGGGGTGGTGCCGCTGCTGCTGGATTTCTTCACGCCACGCGGGACGGGCGGAGGCGAGCTGGAGACGACCTGAAGAAGGGAAGCAAGAGGGAGAGTCGAGGGGCAGCAACAGGTGAGGGGAAGACTAAATTGTAGCGCGAATGCTGCAAAAGTTGCTGGGGTTGAGTGGGTGCATGAGGGACCTGGGAGGAGGTGAGCTGGAGACGACTTGGAGGGGTGAGGGAGGGTGGGGAGTGGCAGTAACAGTGAAAGGAATTGAGGAGAGGAAGGAAGAAGCAGATAGAGGGATGGTGCCGCTGCTGCTGGATTTTTCACCTGCAACAGCCTTCCCCATCTCACCTGCGACAGCCATTCCCATCTCACCTGCGACAGCCATTCCCCATCTCACCTGCGACAGCCATTCCCCATCTCACCTGCGACAGCCATTCCCCATCTCACCTGCGACAGCCATTCCCCATCTCACCTGCGACAGCCATTCCCCATCTCACCTGCGACAGCCATTCCCCATCTCACCTGCGACAGCCATTCCCCATCTCACCTGCGACAGCCATTCCCCATCTCACCTGCGACAGCCATTCCCCATCTCACCTGCGACAGCCATTCGTCCATCTTGGGGTTACTAGCCCGCTCAATCCACATGCGCACGTCCTGCGCCGCCCGCTGCTCCGACCCCGTGCGCGGCTGCCTCCCCCCCCCAGCACTCAGCGACCCCTCTTAGAACATCAAGCCCCACACACAGCCATTCAACCGTTCGTCCATCTCACCTGCGACAGCCATTCAACCGTTCGTCCATCTCACCTGTGACAGCCATTCAACCGCTCGTCCATCTCACCTGTGACAGCCATTCAACCGTTCGTCCATCTCACCTGTGACAGCCATTCAACCGTTCGTCCATCTCACCTGTGACAGCCATTCAACCGTTCGTCCATCTCACCTGCGACAGCCATTCACCCGTTCGTCCATCTCACCTGTGACAGCCATTCAACCGTTCGTCCATCTCACCTGTGACAGCCATTCAACCGTTCGTCCATCTCACCTGTGACAGCCATTCAACCGTTCGTCCATCTCACCTGCGACAGCCATTCAACCGTTCGTCCATCTCACCTGCGACAGCCATTCAACCGTTCGTCCATCTCACCTGTGACAGCCATTCAACCGTTCGTCCATCTCACCTGCGAGAGCCATTCGTCCATCTTGGGGTTACTGGCGCGCTCAATCCACATGCGCATGTCCTGCGCCGCCCGCTGCTCCGACCCGGTGCGCGGCTGCCTTCCCCCCCCAGCACTCAGCGACCCCGGGTCCATGCTCGTGCTGCGCCACAGGGGGGACATCGACTGCGCCCTCTGCACCCCCCCTCCCCCCCCCGCTCCCCCTCCCCCACCCCCGGTGCTCCCCCCGCGGGGTAGGCCCTTCCCTGCCGCGCCGCCCATGCGGTTGGACAGTTCTCCGCTGGTGCGCGGGCGGCTGTCTGTCAGCGACCGCATGGCTTCCATCGGAGAGCCCGGCGAGGATTTTCTTGGCTGCCCGTCTGACCCAGAGGTGTTTCTTTGCTGCCCGTTGTCTGCTGCTGCTGCTGCTGCTGCAGAGGAGACCCCGTCGCCCTCTCGCTGTTCTGCCAACGGGCTTCTACTGCTGCCATTGCCGCTGCTGCCGCCGCTGCCGCTGTAGGGACTGCTGCTGTTGACCCGCCTGAGACTACCAGGAGTGCCCATAGGCCCACCCTTGGATGCATTCACAGGAGCGGGGTTGCCGGGACCAGACCCACCACCCCTGCCTGCCCCGTAGCTCTCACTCTGCTTCCCCTCACCTCCCCCCCCTGCCGCCCGCACCGCCCCCTCTCCTCTACTCTCCCCCACACCTTCCCCCCCACCCCCTCCCCTTCCCCCGCCCCCTCTCCCCAGCCCCGACCCTCCCGGATTCCCCCTCCCCCCACCCCCCCCCTCCCCCTCCGCCCGCCCCTGCCCCCCCTGTCCGCCCGCCCGGCGCCCCTCCCCCTCCCCCTGGCGCATTTCCCCCGGAAGGCGGAGGCTTCCCCCCTCTGCCATCAGGTCTTGGTATTCTCCCGTGCCTGGGGCTCTCAGCCATGCGCTCCTGCCCGCCTGCACCCGCGCCTGACTGTGAGTTCTGCCGGGAGTAACTTTCAGACGTGGACACTCGTAAGATGCTCTTGGGAGGCGCTGCCCCCGCTCCCCCCCCAGCTCCCCCTCCTCCCCCTGTTCCCCCCGCTCCCCCTGCTCCCCCCGTTCCCCCTCCTCCCCCTCTCCCTGTCCCTTCCCCCAGCCGCGATCTTTCTTTATTGTCCTGCCTAGCCATGCCCCACTCTCTACTGTTATTCCACTCCCTGCTGTTATTCCATTCTCTACTCCGGTCTAGGTCCCGACCGTCACGAGGAATAGTGACGTCTTTAGAAGACCCAGAGGCCTCTCTAGAACTAGCTGCCTCTCTAGAACTAGTGCCCTCTCTAGCATTAGTAGCCTCTCTAGCACCGGAGGTATTCCGAGAGTCAGCAGTGTCCCTGATGGCGTTAGTAGTCTCTCTGTTCCCTGATGCCTCGCGGGTGCTCGTCCATTCCCGGCTGTTATTCCACTCCCTACTCTGATCCATCGCATCGCCACTCCCCCTCCTCTCCATGCCTCCTCTCCCCCCTGCTCCCCCTCCTCCTCTGCCTCCTCTCTCCCCACTTCCTCTCCTCTCCATCCCCCCTGGCCCTGCCCTTGCCATTCCTACCCCCCCTCCTCTTGCTGCCCCTACCCCACCTCCCCTCCCTCCTCCACCTCCTCCTCCTCTCCCTCCTCCTCTCCCCACTCCCTCCCCCCTCGGGCTTGCTGCCTGCTCCCTGAGGCTCCTATCGCTACCGTTTCTCTCGATTCCTGACCCTCCACTCACACTACCCACTCTCCCACTCCCACTCCTCCCACTCCGCACACTCCCTCCCACACTGGACCCCCCTCGACTGGAAGACGATAATTCACCCTCATCCTCCTCCTCCTCTCCGTTCACACTCCCTCCCACCCCTCTCCGCTCCCCCCCACTCCCCCCTCCATGGATTTTCGACCAGATCTGATCCAGGGACGGCCCATTGTCGTTTTCTGTATGTGATCCGATCCTACTGTTGCCGCCGCCCTCCCTCTGCTTGCCACCGCCACCGCTATTGTAACGGTTATTGCTACGGTTACTGTTACTGTTACTATAGCTGCTGCTTGCATCATCATCCTCATCATTACTGGTCAGCGCATCCTGATTCGAACTATGCCCACGCCCATGCCCATACCCATGCCTATTTCCATGCCTACTCCCTCCCTCCCCAACGCTCTCTTCCTCCTCCTCCCCCTCATCCTCCTCCTCCTCATCATCATCATCACTCTGCAACGGGGTGCCCGTTTCCCACATCCTCTTTTGCGACCCGCTCCGAGACAACTTCCTCTGTCCTCCCTCTCCCCCTCCTCCTCCTCCCTTTCCTTCTCCTCCTCTCACTCTTCCTCCTGCTCCACCACCCTCTCCCCCACTTCCCCCAGACCCCTCTCTCCTGCCCAAACTCCTCACTCCACCGCCAAAAGACTCATCCCGCGTCCCCCCTCCAGCCAACCCCCCACGTCCTCCCCCCAACCTTCCCACCTTGCCACTGTCTGACCCACTCGCACCAGCAGGGGAAGCAGCAGAAGAAGCAGAAGCACCAGCAGAAGCAGAAGGAGCAGAGGCATATGAGCCGCTGCCAGATCTTCCTGCGAGCCAGCCCTGGGAGAAGGCTCCGTTGGGGCCCCCTCCCAACACACCATCCTCGTCCTCCTCATCATCACTCTCCACCTGAGGAAGGGGGGATAGATGGTGGGGTGGGAGGGGAGAGAATTGTAAGGGAGGGCATGGGCACGGGCATGCGCATGGGCATGGACTTGGGTCTGGGGGTTGTTGGCTCGCTCACCTGGAAGTTCATGTAGGCGATGGACATGGACATGGAGCGCGAGCGAGCGCGAAAGCCGTATGTAGACGTCTCAACCCTCGCAGGGATGAGTGGGGGTTCAGGCCTCACCTGGAAGTTCATGTAGGCAATGGACATGGACATGGAACGGGAGCGAGCGCGCACAGACAGGGCCGAAGGAGGCTGCCTGGCCGGCAAACACTCGTCCCCCTGCCCGTGCAGCTTCCTGGAAGCTGCTGATGTTGCTGCTGGCAAGGCGTCTAGAAACTTCCTTCCTTTCTCCCCTCCTCCTCCTCCTGCTCCTCCTCCTCCTCCTCCTCCTCCTCTCCCACCCGCCTCTCCTCCTCTCTCCCCTCTTCTCATTCTGCCCATTTCAGGCCCCACACCTGACTTTGCCCGAACCAGGGGAGACTTGGCTCGGTGCCGAGCCTCAGGTCCGGCCAAGCCTGCCCCGGGGTCAAGAGGAATGGACTCGGCTGACCTGGGCGTGGCAGAGCTGCGAGAACGAGGGAAGCTGGCGTGAGCCTGAGGGGATGCTGCAAACACACCACCACCAGCAGCAGCACGGCCACCACTGCCAGCAGCAGCAGCAGCAGCAGCAGCAGCAGCAGCAGCAGCAGCAGCAACGCCACCACCTGCTCCTCCTCGTCTACCTCCCACCTCTCCCATCCCACCAGCCAAGCCACTGCCACCACCCTTGCCACCACTGGCAGTACTGGCAGCAGCAGCAGTGGTGGGGCCAGTGGGTGCAGTGGCCCCTCCGCGTGGGCGGGGGCGGGCGCGGGAGGAGTCATCAGAGGCACAGCCTTCCGACTCCGACCCCAGCACATCATTCCACGACCCAAACGAGGGATACGCTGCTAGGCTCTTCCCCCCTCTTCCCCCACCCGCCGCGCCTCCTCGCCCCCCTCCCCCTCCCCCTCCTGCTCCCCCTCCCGCTCCCCCTCCCCCTCCCGCTCCTGTGCCTGTCGTTGTTCCCGCACCTCCCCCTCCCCCTCCGCCTCCTGCTCCTCCTCTTCCACCCATCATCACACTCCTGTCCACCCCACTTCCCGCTCCTCCCACCGCATCCCTCCCCTCCACCTTACTCACACCCCTACCTGGAACAAACTCAACCGTATCCTCTCCTTCTCTCTCACTCTCCCCTCCTGTCCCCCTCCCGTCCCGCCCCACCCCCTGCCCCTGCTGCTTCTCCCCCTGCTGCCTCTGCTGCTCCTGCTGCCGCTGCTGCTCCTGCTGCTGCAGCAGCAGCTGCCTCTTAGTCTGCTGATACCTCAGCTGAGGCGACGTGGGCTTTAACTCACCCGTCGGGCTCTTCGCCTGCGTCAGACTCTCCCGAATCGCCTTCTCAATCTCCCGCGGCCGGATCGGCTTCGATAAATAATAATCCATCCCAGCAGCCATGCAGCTGTCCTTATCCTCGCTAAGAGCAGATGCGGTAAGCGCGACAATAAACGTCCGGTGCGGCCGCGGCGGCATGTGCGCGCGGCGGGGCTGGGAGGGAGAGCTGGCCTCGCTATCGCTAGCATCACTGTTAGTGTTTGCCACCCAGCTGGCGGCGCTGCCGTAAGGGGAGCCGTTGCCACAGGCGGCCATGGCTGCTGTGTACACCTGCAGCCTCTCTGCCTCCATCTCTCTGATCTTCCGCGTGGCTTCAAACCCATCCATCTCCGGCATGTGACAGTCCTGCGGGGGGGTGGTGGATGGGGGAGGAGGGCGGTTCGGGGGAGGGGAGGGAAAGGGACGGGAGGCGAGGGGATGAGAGGGAAAGGGAGGGGAGGGGGATGGTGGGTTGAGTAAAAATTCTGAGAACACGTGTACAAGATGGCCTGAGTAGGGGCAGAGGGAAGGAGGGGCAGCACCTCACTCACGCCATGAGGGCAACTTGCAGCAAGGCACGCCTGTTTTTTTAGTCGTGTTGAAAGGTCAGCATGAAGGAGAGCAGCAGCGTCACTCATGCTGGTGGGTCGACATGAACTCAGCATGAGGGGCAATGCGACTCACCATGAGCACCACTCACCATGAGCACCACTCACTCACCATGAGCACCACTCACCATGAGCACCACTCACCATGAGCACCACTCACTCACCATGAGCACCACTCACCATGAGCACCACTCACTCACCATGAGCACCACATCGTAGCAGCGCTCGGAGCACGCCCGCACGGCGAGCTTGCCGTTCTCCACCACGTCGTACTTGAGGCCCAGGTTGTGCAGCATGCGCGTCGCCACCATCTGATTCACTTTATTATCCTGGTTGCGGGTGGGTTGGGGTGATGGGTGGAGGGGTGAGTTGGGGGCATGGGTGGGTTGGGAGGGTTGGGAGGGAGTGAGCCTCTCTCACAGCCAGCGAGATTGCCATTCTCCACCACATCGTACTTGAGTCCCAGGTTGTGCAGCATGCGCGTCGCCACCATCTGATTCACCTTGTTATCCTGGTGGGGGGTTGAAGACGCAAGTTGGGTGGAGGGAATGAGAGGGAGTGAGCTCCTCTCGTCTCACAGCCAGCGAGCTTGCCGTTCTCCACCACATCGTACTTGAGTCCCAGATTGTGCAGCATGCGCGTCGCCACCATCTGATTCACCTTGTTATCCTGGTGGGGGGTTGAAGACGCAAGTTGGGTGGAGGGAATGAGAGGGAGTGAGCTCCTCTCGTCTCACAGCCAGCGAGCTTGCCATTCTCCACCACATCGTCTTTGAGGCCCAGGTTGTGCAGCATGCGCGTTGCTACCATCGGATTCACCTTGTTGTCCTGATGGGTGACGGGAGAAGGAAAGGAGAGGTAAGGGAGAACGAAGGGGGGAAGGGGGGTGTGTGGGGGAGAAGAGGAAGGGGAGGAGAAGCTGAGGCCCAGGTTGTGCAGCATGCGCGTCGCCACCATCTGATTCACTTTGTTGTCCTGTCGGACGGGTAAGGGGAAGCGGGGGGAGCGGGAGAAGAGAATGGGTGGTTTGGGGGGAACGGGGGGAGTAAGCAAGCTGTAGGCTGCAGGTGCTTCCACAGCGGCTGCTCCCTTGGTATCCTCGCTTCTCATCCCATCACCTCCGCCACTACAACCCCTACCCCCACTCACCTCGAGCACAAGCACCCCTCACCTCCGCAACCAGCACGCGCAGGTCCTGCAGGTGCTTCCACAGCGGCTCCACATCGCTCGTGAGCGACTGCTCTGCTCTGCCGATGCAATACCAACACCTACACCCGCTCACCCCCACCACCAGCACCCCTTTAAATCACCCTGCCAACACCTGCTCTCACCTCCGCCACGAGCACTCTCAGGTCCTGCAGGTGCTTCCACAGCGGCTCCACATCGCTCGTGAGCGACTGCTCTGCTGAGGCGGTGGCCGACTGAGCATCGCGCCTCACCACGCCCACTCGCACGTGGAAGTAAAAGGTGGACCCCACGCCCACCTGGGGAGATTCGGGGGGGAGATACAGAGGAGAGTTGGGAGCGTGGGAACGGATCAATCAAAGGCGTCCCACTTCACCACCCCCCCAATGCACGTTGAAACGACCCCCTGGGCAATCAGACTGACCCTCTAGCTATTGTGCCCCACCCACCTGTGCCTGCCTATGCCCCTCTCCCTTCCTCGAGCCCCACCTGGCTGTGAAGGCTGATATCGCCCCCCATGAGATTGCAGAGGCTCTTGCAGATCGCCAGGCCCAGCCCGGTGCCGCCGTATCTACGGCTGGTGGAGTTGTCGGCCTGCGAGAACACCTTGAACAGCCGGCTGCGCGCACTCTCGTCCATGCCCACCCCCCAGTGGTCTGGTTTGAGAGCTCCCTCAATGCACAAGCCAAAGCCAGTTCATCGAAAGACTCAGCCCCAACGCACCTGGCTGTGAAGGCTGATATCCCCTCCCATCAGATTGCAGAGGCTCTTGCAGATGGCGAGGCCCAGCCCGGTGCCGCCGTAGCGGCGGCTGGTGGAGTTGTCGGCCTGCGAGAACGCCTTGAACAGCCGGCTGCGCGCACTCTCATCCATGCCCACCCCCGTGTCCCTCACCTCACCTTGCACGCCAAAGCCAGGCAGTCAGTCTCGGCCCCAACCCACCTGCCTGCACAAGCCCATGCCCCATGCCCCTCTCCCCTCTACGCACCTGGCTGTGAAGGCTGATATCCCCTCCCATGAGGTTGCAGAGGCTCTTGCAGATGGCCAGCCCAAGCCCCGTGCCACCGTAGCGGCGGCTGGTGGAGTTGTCGGCCTGCGAGAACGCCTTGAACAGCCGGCTGCGCGCACTCTCGTCCATGCCCACCCCCGTGTCCCTCACCTCAAACCGCACCATCACATTTTCACTCTCACCCTCTCCCTCACTCTCACTCTCACTCTCCCCCTCGCCCTCCCCCTCGCTCTCCTCCTCGCTTTCCCCCTCCTTCCCCTTGCCGCCGCCCTTGCTCTGGTTCCCGCTCCTGCCGCCGCCACTGCTACCGCCGCCGCCAGCAGCAGCGGCAGTGGTGGTAGCGGTGGTGGTGCTGCTGCTGTCTGCAGGAAGCTTCGGGGTAGCTGCCTGTTCTTCCACCTCTCTGATCTCCTCGTCTGTGGCCAGACGCAGATCCACTGTGATGCCGCCACTGGGTGGGGGGGAAGAAAGGGAAGCGGCGGAGAAGGGAGAGAGGGACCGAGTGTTTTTTAGAATTTTCGTAAGCACCACTTTGATCTCCTCGTCTGTGGCCAGACGCAGATCCACTGTGATGCCGCCACTGGAGAGAGGGGAGGAAGAGGGGTTTGGAAGAAGTGGGGGAGAGAGGAGAGAGGGACAGAGTGTTTGTTAGGATTCTCGAAATCATCTCGACCTCTCTGATCTCCTCGTCAGTGGCCAGACGCAAATCCACTGTCATGCCTCCACTGGCGGGAGAGGGAGGGGGGGGGGGGAATAAAGATGAGGGACAGAGTGTTTTTAAGGATTCTCAAAAGCACCTCTCTGATCTGATCTCCTCTTTGGTGGCCAGACGCAGACGCAGATCCACTGTCATGCCGCCACTGGGGAGAGTGTGGGTGGGGGGAGGAGGAGAAACGAGAGGGGACAGCGGGCAAGGGGGAATGAGCCATAGCGCCTCGTGCTGTGCCTCGTTGCACTCGCGCGCATCAGCAGCACCATCCGCTTCCCACACACATGTGCATCCGCGTCCTTTCTGAAAGCTCTCAAAGGTGACTCAAACATGCACATCCTCTTCCCTTCGATCAAGTCAGCACTCCCCTATCGCACTCAGCACTCCCCTATTGCACTCAGCATTCACTCGACTCTCATTGGTCTTGGCACTCACTTGTCGGTGAACTTGATGGAGTTGGAGATGAGGTTCAGCAGCACCTGCCTCAACCGCACTGGATCGCCCACCACCACGGACGGCACCTCCTCACCGATCTCCAGCTCCAAATACAGCCCCTTGTCCTTCGCCACCACCTCTAGCAGCGCCAGTGCCTCTGTCACCTGCAAATGGGAGTGGACGACATACGGAAATGTAATAGGGAGGGGGGTAACACTCAGTGGAGGGAGAGGGGCCGCACAGGATGGCACCTCTTCAGCTACCTCCAGCTCCAGGTACAGCCCCTTGTCCTTCGCCACCACCTCTAGCAGCGCCAGCGCCTCTGTCACCTGCATAGCGGGAGTGAAGAGCACACGAGAAAAAGCTCCTCGTCAATTCACACCTCCACCTCCAGCTCCAAATACAGCCCCTTGTCCTTCGCCACCACCTCTAGCAGCGCCAGCGCCTCTGTCACCTGCATAGCGGGAGTGAAGAGCACACGAGAAAAAGCTCCTCGTCAATTCACACCTCCACCTCCAGCTCCAAATACAGCCCCTTGTCCTTCGCCACCACCTCTAGCAGCGCCAGCGCCTCTGTCACCTGCATAGCGGGAGTGAAGAGCACACGAGAAAAAGCTCCTCGTCAATTCACACCTCCACCTCCAGCTCCAAATACAGCCCCTTGTCCTTCGCCACCACCTCTAGCAGCGCCAGTGCCTCTGTCACCTACCGCACGAGAGAGAACAACAGGTGGTGAACACAGGGAGACAGTCAGCGAGACTGAACCATTGCCAGAACCAAGGCTGATCTCGAGGTACGAGCGCTGCTCCGCTGTCGGGTCCTTGGCCACCACCTCTAGCAGCGCCAGCGCCTCTGTCACCTGCGGCACGAGAGAGAACAACAGGTGGTGAACACAGTTGCTGACTGCTGCGCTCACCCAAAGAGTCTGCTTTTGAGTCGACTCAAAAACGAGAGAGAACAGGTGGTGAGGTGAACACAGTTGCTGACTGCTGCGCTCACCCAAAGAGTCTGCTTTTGAGTCGACTCAAAAACGAGAGAGAACAGGTGGTGAGGTGAACACAGTTGCTGACTGCTGCGCTCACCCAAAGAGTCTGCTTTTGAGTCGACTCAAAAACGAGAGAGAACAGGTGGTGAGGTGAACACAGTTGCTGACTGCTGCGCTCACCCAAAGAGTCTGCTTTTGAGTCGACTCAAAAACGAGAGAGAACAGGTGGTGAGGTGAACACAGTTGCTGACTGCTGCGCTCACCCAAAGAGCCCGACAACCCTCACCTGCTGCTGGATGTTGAACTCGATGCGCTCTAGCGCCAGGTTCTTGGATTCGATCTTGGAGAGATCCAGCACGTCCGATATGATTCTCAGCAGGTTGTCCCCCGAGGAGCGGATGATCTCCAGGTACGAGCGCTGCTCTGCTGTCAGGTCCGTGCCTAGCAGCAGCTCCGCCACTCCTATCACACCTGGGGGAAAATGAGCAGGGTGCAGGGTGCAGGGGGCAGGGGGCAGGGGGCAGGGGGGAGGGGGGAGGAGGAATGATCTCGAGGAACAAGCGCTGCTCCGCTGTGAGGTCCGTACCCAGTAGCAGCTCCGCCACTCCTATCACACCTGGGAAGACGGGAGAGGAACGAGGGAAGCGCAGGAGAGGAACAAGGAATGGGAAGGGAGGGATGAGCTTGAGGCATGGTATGAGCTCCTGTGCCACCAGTTACTTTATCCTGTGGATTGTCAACCAGAACCATCAGGTACATCCAATCCAAAAAAAAGGTTCCACTTCTGGAGCATTGAGGTGAGTTTAGTTTTGAGGCGCCTCAAACCTCACCTGTGGATCGTCAACCAAAGCCATCAGGTACATTCAATCCAAGTACAGGTCCCAATTCTTGGATGCAACGTAGCACGCACCGTTCATGGGAGTGCGGTGCGGATCTCGTGGCTCATGTTGGCGAGGAACTGGCTCTTGGCCTGGCTGGCCTTCTCACTCACCACTCACTGCTCACCTTGCACTGCAGCACACGCCCCCTCGCCCCACTCACCGTTCATGGGGGTACGGATCTCATGGCTCATGTTGGCGAGGAACTGGCTCTTGGCCTGGCTGGCCTTCTCAGCAGCGTCCTTGGCGGCTCGCAGCTCCTCCGCCTGCTGCTTGATCTCCGCCACCTCGTGCCGCTCCTTGGCCTGCCTGGCCTTCTCCCTTCATACAGCCCCGCTAACCCCTCACCCCTTACCCTTCACTGCATTGCACCACACACAACCACCCACTCACCGTTCATGGGGGTGCGGATCTCATGACTCATATTGGCGAGGAACTGGCTCTTGGCCTGGCTGGCCTTCTCAGCGGCGTCCTTGGCGCGCTGCTCACCACTCACTGTTCAACGGATTATCCATAAAGCACTCACCGTTCATGGGGGTACGGATCTCATGGCTCATGTTGGCGAGGAACTGGCTCTTGGCCTGGCTGGCCTTCTCAGCGGCGTCCTTGGCGGCCCTCAGCTCCTCCGCCTGCTGCTTGATCTCGGCCACCTCGTGCCACACCACCAGGTACATGGGGTGCTGCTGCTGCACCTCCAGGAAGGTTAAAGTGACTTCTATGGGGACCAGAGAGCCGTCAAACCGCTGGTACACCCACTCGAACCTGCGGGAGGAGAGGGGAGGGATGGGGGAGGGATGGGAGGGATGGGAGGGATAGGAGGGATGAAAGGGAGGGATGAAAGGGAGGGATGAAAGGGAGGGATGAAAGGGAGGGGATGGGGGCGAGTTTTGGCGGTTCTGAGCTCCTCGGCCTGCTGTTTGATCTCCGCCACCTCGTGCCACACCACCAGGTACATGGGGTGCTGCTGCTGCACCTCCAGGAAGGTCAGCGTCACTTCTATTGGGACTAGCGAGCCGTCGAAGCGTTGATACACCCACTCGAACCTGGAGGAGGGTGGAGGAAATCGAAGGAGGAAGCAGGGCTAAAAAGGAAGATGTCCTGCTAGGCTGTCACCGGCTGCTACCGCAACTCTTGCGCTTACCTCCCCCTAGTGCACGGTTCCCTCCTCCCCCACCTCCCTTCCTACAACCCTTCTCTCGCACACACTTGTTCATGCCGTGCTGTTCTGCCCGGCGGTCCATGGCCTTGGCCTTCTCCTTGGACAGCTGCCCGTCCGGCTGCTCTACCCTTTAGAACGCCCCGCCCCACCCAATCCCCCCATCCCTCCCGGTCGCTCACTTGTGCATGCCCTGTTGCTCTGCCCGCCGGTCCATGGCCTTGGCTTTCTCCTTGGACAGCTGCCCGTCGGGCTGCTTCAGAGGCGAGAAGAGCGCGGGGTGGTGGCGCCACCACATGCCCTTGCACCCCTACCCCCAATCCCCCCATCCCCCCCAGTGACGCACTTGTGCATGCCGTGCTGCTCTGCCCTCCGGTCCATGGCTTTAGCCTTCCCCTTGGACAGCTGCCCGTCCGGCTGCTCTACCCCTTAAATCGCCACACCCCACCCAATCCCCCCATCCCTCGCGGTCGCTCACTTGTGCATGCCGTGCTGTTCTGCCCGGCGGTCCATGGCTTTAGCTTTCTCCTTGGACAGCTGCCCGTCCGGCTGCTCTACCCTTTAGTACGCCCCGCCCCACCCAATCCCCCCAACCAGTCCAACGCACTTGTGCATGCCGTGCTGCTCTGCCCGGCGGTCCATGGCTTTCGCCTTCTCCTTGGACAGCTGCCCGTCCGGCTGCTTCAGCGGCGAGAAGAGTGCCGGGTGGTGGCCCAGCAGGCTGGCCTTATCGGGGCAGCGCAGGCAGCGCACTGCCGCCTCGTTGCACTCCGTGATGCCCGTCTCGTCAAACACCAGATAGCCGTCCTGGGGGGAGCAGGAAGGGGGAAAGTAGAGGGTTCAGAAGAAGGAGCACAAAGGAGAGGGGAGGGGAGGGAGGGGGTGTGTGGTTGGGTGGGGGAAGAGCGCGGGGTGGTGGCCCAGCAGGCTCGCCTTATCGGGGCAGCGCAGGCACCTCACCACCGCCTCGTTGCACTCCATTATGCCTGTTTCGTCAAACACCAGATAGCCATCCTGATGTGGGAAGGAGGGAGGGGAGAGGGGAAGAGCGGGGAGCGTGGGTGTTCGGACGGACAGGGGAGAGGAAATGGGTGGGGATGGGGTTGAATGAATGGCAGGGGAGAGGAGAGGGGAGGGAGTGTGTGGTTGGAGGCGAGAAGAGGGCAGGGTGGTTCACTTCACACACATGCACCCACCCACACACCCACCCATGCACCCACCCACACACCCACACATGCACCCACCCACACACCCACCCATGCACCCACCCACACACCCACACATGCACCCACCCACACACCCACCCATGCACCCACCCACACACCCACCCACCCACCCACACACCCACCCATGCACCCACCCACACACCCACCCATGCACCCACCCACACACCCACCCACACCCATGCGCATGTCTCGGAAGGCCAGACGCACGGAGGAGAAGTCAAAGAGAAGGCGAAACTTCTCCTGCACGATCATACACACACATGCCCGCCCGCACTCACACACACGCCTACGCCCACCCACACCCCCACAGCCACAAGGGCAGGCAGGCAGCCTGAGACGCACCGAGGAGAAGTCAAAGGGCAGGCGGAACCTCTCCTGCACGATCACACACACACACACACACCCACCCACGCCCACGCACACGCACCCACGCACACCCACGAACATGCCCACAGCCACAGGGGCAGGCGGACTCACCGAGGAGAAGTCAAAGGGCAGGCGGAACCTCTCCTGCACGATCACACACACACACACACACACACACACACACACACACACACACACACACACACACACACACACACACACACACACACACCCAAACACGCCCACACACACACTGCCTCAGAAGGCCCAACGCACCGAGGAGAAGTCAAAGAGCAGGCGGAACTTCTCCTGCACGATCAGCCGGTCCGTGATGTCACTCACCACCCACAGCTCCCCTCCCCCTCCTCCCCCCTCCGCTGCGCCCTTCATTGTATCGATGGACGTAGCATCGGTGGAAGGGGAGAGGTGGGTGCAGTCGCGCCCCACCACCTCCACCCACCGCTGCTCGCCGTCGCTCCTCACCACGCGCATGGTGCGCGGATGCGGGAAGCCTGCCTTGCGATCTGCATCCATCACCTTGCGCACCTGGAGGGAGAGGGGAGAAGAGAAGCAGGAGCGGGAGAGGACAGGGCGTTGCAGAGTAGAGGGAGAATGAGCCCTTGCTTCACCAGCAGTCGCGCCCCACCACCCACCTCCACCCACCGCTGCTCCCCGTCGCTCCTCACCGCGCGCATGGCATGGCGCGCGGATGGCGGATTGCGCGTACCACCACCACGCGCATGGCATGGCATAGAGCCAACAGATGCGTTTTTTTTCTTGTCTCTAAACTCATCCAAGTCATAGCGCCACTTTCTGCGCCACTCACTCTCAACCCAAATCCTCACGTGATCCTGTTCCCCACCTCAGCAAGAACCACTCACTTTCAAACCGAATTCTCACACACTATTCCAAGCCAAACCTCCTCACCTCACCCCACCCTGCACCCACCTCGGCCTCTCGCTCGCGGAACAGCAGGGAGAACCTGGTGTCCACACTCCCCTGCCCAGCTAAGACGAATTCTGCGTCAATTTAACAACAAACCCACCTCAGCCTCTCTTTCTCGGAACAGCAGCGAGAACCAGTCGTCAACACTCCCCAGCTGCTCCCGCGAGTACCCCACAATCGCCTCCACGTGCGCATTCACCAGCACCTCCCCGCCCCTTCCCCCCGCTCCCCCTCCCGCTCCCCCCATTCCCCCCACTCCCCCTGGCTGTGGCAGCACGTGCACCACGCCCGCAGGCAGGTGCTCCAGAATGAAACGGTGGCGATCCGAGGAGAGGGGCTGGTGGGGTGGGGGGAGACATGGGGAGAGCGGAGGGTGGGGAGGAGGGAGGAATGAGAGGGAAGGCGGATAGCGGCAGAATGAGAGATTCAGTCTGAGGCAGATCAAGAAGAAAGAAACCTCCTGCTCCCCCCGGCTGCGGCAGCACGTGCACCACGCCCGCAGGCAGATGCTCGAGAATGAACCGGTGGCGATCCGAGGAGGGGGGCTGGTGGGGTGGGGAGGGGAGTGACACGGGGAGAGGGGAGCAAATTAATGGCGAATTCATGGCAAATGATCATGGCAAATGATCATGGCAAATGATCATGGCAAATGATCATGGCAAATGATCATGGCAAATGATCATGGCAAATGATCATGGCAAATGATCATGGCAAATGATCATGGCAAATGATCATGGCAAATGATCATGGCAAATGGTCATGTCAAATGATCATGGCAAATGATCATGGCAAATGATCATGGCAAATGATCATGGCAAATGATCATGGCAAATGGTCATGTCAAATGATCATGGCAAATGATCATGGCAAATGATCATGTCAAATGATCATGTCAAATGATCATGTCAAATGATCATGTCAAATGATCATGGCAAATGATCATGGCAAATGATCATGTCAAATGATCATGGCAAATGATCATGGCAAATGATCATGTCAAATGATCTTGGCAAATGATCATGGCAAATGATCATGTCAAATGATCATGGCAAATGATCATGGCAAATGATCATGGCAAATGATCATGGCAAATGATCATGGCAAATGATCATGGCAAATGATCATGGCAAATGATCATGGCAAATGATCATGGCAAATGATCATGGCAAATGATCATGGCAAATGATCATGGCCAATGATCATGGCAAATGATCATGGCAAATGATCATGGCAAATGATCATGGCAAATGATCATGGCAAATGATCATGGCAAATGATCATGGCAAATGATCATGGCAAATGATCATGGCAAATGATCATGGCAAATGATCATGGCAAATGATCATGTCAAATGATCATGGCAAATGATCATGGCAAATGATCATGTCAAATGATCATGGCAAATGATCATGGCAAATGGTCATGTCAAATGATCATGGCAAATGATCATGGCAAATGATCATGGCAAATGATCATGGCAAATGATCATGGCAAATGGTCATGTCAAATGATCATGGCAAATGATCATGGCAAATGATCATGTCAAATGATCATGGCAAATGATCATGGCAAATGGTCATGTCAAATGATCATGGCAAATGATCATGGCAAATGATCATGTCAAATGATCATGTCAAATGATCATGTCAAATGATCATGTCAAATGATCATGGCAAATGATCATGGCAAATGATCATGTCAAATGATCATGGCAAATGATCATGGCAAATGATCATGTCAAATGATCTTGGCAAATGATCATGGCAAATGATCATGTCAAATGATCATGGCAAATGATCATGGCAAATGATCATGGCAAATGATCATGGCAAATGATCATGGCAAATTATTGGCGAATCAAAGGGCAGATTACGCACCTTGGCAGAGCTACCAGCTGGCAGGTCGCAAATCACAGCCATGACCATCGACACATGATCCCCAGTACCAGCACTAGCAGCACCACCACCACCAGCAATTCACGCACCTTGGCAGTGCTGGCAGCTGGCAGGTCGCAGATCACAGCCATAATCATCGACACATGATCCCCAGTAGTACCAGCACTAGCAGCACCACCACCACCACCACCTCCCCCTGCTCCCACTCCTCCACTACTGGAAGCCGGAGGGGCGGCCTCGACGGTGATCCGCACAGGACGCAGCTTGCCGCCCGGCAGCACCAGCCGCAGGTCGTGCTGGCGCTGCCGCTGCCACGCTGGTGCTGACATGGACGCGCCACGTAGGATGGCGTCAGAGACTGTCGAGAACCACGCCTGGAAGGCAGCCACGTCATCAGCTGCAATGAAATCCTCCAGCACGCGCCCTTCCACGGCCCGGGCCGGGCGGCCCAGCATGGCCGCCAGGGCGGCACTGCAGTGCGCCAGCTCAGCGCTGCTCACACGCAGCGCTGCCAGGGAGACAGAGGCTGAGTCGAGGAGGGATCTGGTGGGGTGGGGTGGGGTGGGGTGAGTGGGGTGGGGTGGAATAGGGTGGGGTGGGGTGGGGTGGGGTGGGATGAAGGGAGGCAGAGCTTGAAGTGACTATTGAAGAACCCCATGAGGAGTTGAACGTCATCAGCTGCAATGAAATCCTCCAGCACGCGCCCTTCCACGGCCCGGGCCGGGCGGCCCAGCATGGCCGCCAGCGCGGCACTGCAGTGCGCCAGCTCAGCGCTGCTCACCCGCAGTGTTGCCAACGCTACACAGGCAGAGTCAAGAAGCGATCTGGGGTGTGTAGGGGTGAGGTGGGGTGGGGTGGGGTGGGGTGGGGTGGGGTGGGGTGGGATGGGGTGGGGTGGGATGGGGTGGGGTGGGGTGAGTGGGCGCATGGACAGAGGCACAGCTGCAATGAAATCCTCCAGCATTCGCCCCTCCACGGCGCGGGCCGGGCGGCCCAGCATGGCTGCCAGGGCGGCACTGCAGTGCGCCAGCTCAGCACTGCTCACACGCAGCGCTGCGAGGGAGACAGAGGCTGAGTCGAGGAGCGATCTGGTGGGGTCGGGTGGGGTGGGGTGGAATGGGATGGGGTGGGGTGGGATGGGGTGGATGGGTATGAAGAGAGGCACAGCTTGAAGTTACAACTGAGGAACTCCAAGAGTTGAACGCTATGGCTCTCAGGGGGGCGGCCCAGCATGGCTGACAGGCGGCACTGCAGTGCGCCAGCTCTGCACTGCTCACCCGCAGCGCTGCCAGGGAGACAGAGGCTGAGTCGAGGAGGGATCTGGTGGGATGGGAGTGGATGGGGTGGGTGGAGTGTAATGGGGTGGGCTTGCATAGAGGCACGGCGTGCGTTGACTGGTGAGAATCTCCATGAGCTGAACGCATGACAGACAGAGCTTGGCATTGCCGACGTGCGGGGAGAGGAGAGGAAAGGGGAGGGGAGGGGAGGGGAGAGGGGGGGAAGGCCGGAGGATAACAGCGGGGGGGCCAACACAATGGGGTGGGGTGGGGACCATACATGGTGGGCAGTAACAGTGAGAGGATAGCACACCGGGATGCATACATACAGGGACGCACACATGGAAGCATACAGGGAAGCAGACGGGGTAGCATAAAGTTGAATTTACGTGATACAATATAAGTTGATGGTCTGGCAGCCAGTGGATGTCAATAGCATCCTTCACTGCACCCAGTGCTGGGGGAAATGGCCGATCTTCGAGTCAACTCATAAAGCGCGTGCGAGCATACAGTGGGGGAGCTTATCGGGAGCATGTGGGGAAGCGTGCACGTCATACACCTACCTGAGAGGGGGCTGCGGCAGCCAGTGGACGTCGATAGCATCGTGCACCCAGTGCTGGTGGGAGAGGAGAGATGGCCGTCCCGGTGAGCTCACTCGCAAGTGTGAGCATACAGTGGGGGAGCATACGGCAGGACGCATTTGGAGAAGCATACAGTCGAACCTACCTGAGAGGGGGCTCCGGCAGCCAGTGGACGTCGATAGCATCCTGCACCCAGTGCCGGGGGAAATGACCCTCTGTGGGGGAGAGGTAAGGTGGCAGAGGAGGGCGGGGGAGGAGGAACGGGGGAGAGAAAAGGGGGGTTGGGGATGGAAGGAGAGGGGCAGGAACGAGAGAGTGGAGGGAGAGAGGTTTGTCAGTGGGGCATGTCAATGTCAGGCTAGTCAGTGACAGGCTTGTCAGGTGGGGAAGTCACGGGCAGAAGAAGAAGGAGTGGCTCGTGCATGAGTGTGGGATGGGAGTTATCCTAAACGCTCTTCCAAGCGGCATGCACTGAATCGAGCTAGCTTATTACCACACCTTCGCCACACTCCCACCGTATCTGATTGAAACCACAACTCCACCAGACCCCCAACTTATCTCACCATCGCCCTTGCTTGAATTCAACCCTCGCTTCCTCACCTGCCCGGACCGACCGCTTCTCACCGCACCTTATTCGTGTCCCTTTTCCCCTTCTTCCTCACTCACCCCCGTACTTCCCCCCCTTATGTGGCAAGCCCATTTCTCCTCCTCGACCAGATCTGCGTTCCCCGTTCATCTCGCGTTTCCCCAGTCCCCTGTATTCCCCCCGTCAGCATTTCCCCCCGTCTGTGTTCTCCCCATCTGCGTTCCCCCTCCCCCTGCGTTCCCCCAGTCTCCTGCGTTCCCCCTGTCTGCATTCCCCGTGTCCCCTGGTTTTCCCCCGTCTCCAGCATTCCCCCTTCCCCTGCATTCCCCCTTCCCCTGCTCACCTGAACCAAACCGCGATTTGCGGTCCTTCTTCCCCACCCGGCCCAGCGTGTCACATCTACCCGCGGAACCCTGCATCCGCGCATCTTCCCCTGCTCCCGCGCCTCCCCCTCCCCTCCCCGCGCCCATCCCCCTCCCAGCCCCGCTCCCCATCCCCAACCATCCAATATCCCCTTCTTCTACACTCAACATTCTTCCCCCAGGCCCCCCGCCCCTGGCTTTCCGCCCTCGGCCCATCTCCTCTCCACGGAGCATTCCCCCCGCCGTTCCCCCCACCGTTCCTTTCGCTAACAGCATATTCTTACTATCCATGGAGCTAACGTCCATACTCTGCCACCTATTAAGCCGCGACTCGGGTCGCCGCGGCTCGGGAGACCTAGACGGCGACCTCTGATGCATCGGCGATTGGCTAAGCGAATCCTGCCGGCCAGCCGAGTCCTGCTGACGGCTAGCCGGCTGCGAGAAAACGGCAGTCTGGGACCGGTTGAATGGGTCTGACGGCATGAGCATGTGAACCTTCCCCCCGATGCTTAACCCGCGGCGGAGCGGCTTGGGCTGGGGGGAGGCGGAAGGGGAGGCGGAAGCAGGTGAAGCAGTAGCGTCATGAGCTGCGGAACCGTGAGCGCCGTGAAACGCGCCGTGAACCGCGCTTGATAGCGGGCTGTCAAACCCGCCTTTTCCTGGAACGCCTCCTCTGGTTTCTGCTGTCGTCATCCCCCCCTCCTCCGTCAAGCTCGCACCCTCCTCGCCATGCGACCTGTTGCTGCCAGCGTGGCGTCCAGGTGGCAGCTGTTCTGGCGACGCCGCCATCGCCGGCGGCGGCGGCGGTAAATGCGGCTGCTCATGCGCGGTGGCGACAAGCTCCCGCTCCGCGCCAATGCCGAAGAACTGCAAATCAATGGATACCGCAATGCCCGCTGCACCTTGCCCCTGCCCCTGCGCCTGCCCCTGCGCGTGTCCCTGCGCGTGTCCCTGCGCCCCCCCTGCTGCCCAGTCCCGACCCCCCGCCCTCCCCCTGCCGCTCCTGCGTCTGACTGACCCGTCATCCGCGGAAGCCGAATCGGACTCCTCCCCCTCCTCCTCATTATCCTCCCCTTCATCTCCCTCCTCCTCCTCCCCCTCTTCCTCCTCCAGCAATTCACCCGCTCCCGCGTCGCCAGCGTCCGAAACTGAAGAAACGGTTCGGATTGACCGAACGTCCTCTGACGTGCTAGAGACTATCCCCGATATAGACCCCGAGCCGGCTCCGGCTCGAGATAAGCTACCTTCCCCCCAGGTTCCCCGTCTGAGGAGGTTCGCCGCCGCCCATTCCGAGCCTCCGCTGCTGCTTCGGCTGACGTCTCCATGCCGAACCTGCGCGTTCGGGACCCTCGGTCCAGGACGGCCGTGAATCGCGGCGTTATTCCCGACCCTTCTAATTCCCCCAACTTCCCCATCCGTCTCTGACTCTTCTTCTCCCTCTCCGCCGGCCTTCGCTGGCAGAACTACCGAGAACCGCGCGGCCTTCTCTTCCCCCGTGGCCAGAGGCGCGACCAGCTGAAGCCAGTCAGCCAATGGGAGGCCGTCTACAAGATTACAAAGCGATAAGGCTTCCAGCTCAGCATCGTTGTATCCAAGGGCTCTCCGCGCGCCTTCGCTGGCGCAGCAGATCCTGGCCGTCCACGGGTCGAGAACGAACTGGAGGAACTGAGCCTGCTGTACAAACCCTAAAACGGTCTGGCTCCGTCCGCTGCCGCCGAACGTCCCTTGGGGGTTGTTTCCGCCTGAAACTCCGCTCCTCCTTCGCCGCCTGCTGTTGGCAACGTGTCCGGGTCTCCCGTTTCTGGAAAACCCGGAGCTCTGATAGGCTACTGATACCGTCATTGATGATCACTGCTAAAGGTTAGTGTTAGGAACCATTGGTACTTAAATAGTATAGAGAGTTATTACAGACGATAAGCTCCGTACATTTCGCTTGCTGCTCTCCTGTGCATTGACGATGAGTGACACGCGGTCATGCTCTGGTTGACACGCGGTTAGCTGACAGAGCGTGATGGTGATAGACTTTAGCACGTGACACCTGCGAACGATGAAACGTGTAACTAATTAGTAAGTCGCTGCTACGCGTCAAGTAAACCTATGCGAAGTACGTTCTACAATCAGCAGTAACCCCTGCTATCCGTCCCTATCCTATTCTTCTGACAGAACTGCTACCACGAAGCACCATAGCTCAGGGTGCATTCCTACCTCGTGTCAGACACGAAGTGGAGGTTTGGATGGAGGTTCGGAAGACCCGAAGTGGCCAACTTCGGGTCTTCCGAACATTGATTTGCCAGAGTTCCAAACCACTTCGGGTCTTCCGCAACTTCACTTCGTGTCTGACCTCATGTCAGACACGAGCCAAGAATGCACCCTCATTCTGAGCCTACAACAAACTCTTCACACAGGCAAAATCGAAGGGCTGGTCGTGGGAGACGAAGGAGCAATTGGGTAAGTCACCGACTTGCGCTCATTTGTTTTGGACTACGATATGATTGTGGAGCAAAATTACCAGGTACAAGTAAGGATTTCTCCAAAATAAGTGGCTTTCTTTTTTACCTGCGGCACTGGAGACCGAAAAGTTTTTTCCACTCTTACCAGCTGTTGTGACCGAAATAAATCTTTCTAAACTCCTCCGATAATTTTCGTTTAGTCTGCCCCGCAACTCAGCCCAGAGTTCACCGCGCTTCGCTCGAAAAGAGACCTCGGTGGAGGAGATTGTTGTGCGTCCCACTCCCACAGCGCCAACTGCCCCGCCCTCACCAACCCTGTGGCGTGCGCCTTGCTGAACGAAGTGTCGTGTTCTCGGGGACGAGCCGGAGAATTGGTTGGTTTGGGTCCTCCGTGACCCAAAAACGATTATTCATGATTGGCTGAAGGTCAATCGTTGCGGTTTGGTGGCTGGCCTAAGGGCGCGCTGCACTTCTATTTATTAATTCGATAATTCTTTGGAGCGGGTTTTGGGCGAACTTGCACGCGTTTCAGTGTTTTTGAACTTGAACATGCAAAAACACAGAATATCGGCACCCTTTGTCAGGTGCACCAAGACTGGTTCTTTGGGGAACCCGAACTCCTATCAACCGTGCGACCGAAATGAGGTCGCACGTATACTGTAGACGTCGCATAGCCAATCATATCATTTCGTCAAGGCATCGTCACTATTCTGTTACCGTCGTTAGTGTTTCGTCGTTTTCGCAACTGGAGTTCACCTTTTGGGGTGGTGCACTTCTCTGTCAAGTTCGAGCATTTGACGGGGAATTCTGCAGTATCGTTTGCCCGCGTTTGGGGCGCTATGGCGTTCAAGTTCGCATGCAAAACACGAGAGTGGTGCACTTCTCGAACAGTAACACTGTTCAGTCAAGACAAAATCCAGTTGAGCAAACGCCAAACGCACAGTAACCCGAACTTCACCCAAATTTCGGATCTGGATCGATCTTCTTCAGCATTTTCGAGTTAAAAAATAGAAGTGCAGCGCGCCCTAACTTTGGCTGGATTCAAGAGGTGTTCTGAGACCCGCCCGAACCAAACCCTGAGGCTCGCATCGCCGTTTCGCGTTGGCTTTGGATGGTGTGGTGAACTTGACGGACGTCAGCATTCTGATTATAATAATGAGCGACGCGACAGAACCGTGAGCGACCGAACTATAATAATGTAGAGATCGTCAAAAAGTTCTTCCGATTATAAAACGAATTTTATGAGACATCTTACTAGGCGTGGATGGAACCTAGAAAATGGAACTAAATCAGCACCCTACGCCAGTGCTTGCTTGAGCTAAACAACTTGAAATTACACGGCATTCTTGGACTCTCGTTACTCGGTACATCACAAATGTTCTCTCTTGTGCACTACCAGCGGGATAGCATGTCGGTCATTTTAGTGTGAGGCCGAGAGGCATACGCCATCACCTCACTTCAGTGTAGCCTGATGCTGCTCCATCTCTCCTCCCCCCACCATTAGCACAACATGGTTGCTCAACCCATACAGCTGAATTGGGGCTTTATGAAACCAGTTTTAGCAGCCGTACCACAATTGAAAATTCACCATTCAAGTTCTCTTCATTACCAATCGCAAGGCAGAGTACATATCGTACTTATACACACATGTCATTCTGCATGAGTGCGCTTCTGAGCATGGGTGTTTTTCACCGGCCACGGCCAAGGAATAAGAACGGAGGTCGACTCGCGATACGTTCGATACGCTGCATCCTTCCCCCACCGCTGCTGCGACGCCTTGTCCAGTAGAGGGATCTGAAAGAGAGAATCGGGCAGTATTGGAAGGAATACGAATGAGGGTTGACTTGACTCGCGATACGCTCAATACGCTGCATCCTTTCCCTACCGCCGCTGCGGCCCCTTGTCTAATAGAGGGACCCGAAGATGAAAACGAGACAATGGGTTTTTTTTTAGAGAGGACAGTGTGAGAAAGAGCTGAGGGAGCGAAACAGGGGCAGGTTGTGATGCAGTAGATCGAAACCTGTGCCTTAGACCTCTCTTCTATTTGCAGAGGGGAAACATAACTGCTTTTATGATGCAGACACAACCATGAGGTGAAGAGATGGTTGGCTTTCGTGTTGGTTGCACAAAGAAATAAGAAAACGTACCCCGCTCATCCGAATGAGTGCATAGAGTGTGAAGAGAGGACTCGCAAGACCTGCGACCACACGGGATTGTGACAAGCAGTCGGGAGAAGAATAGCTGGTAGTTATATGTGGCTGTGGAATGTGGTGTGGGGTCATCCAATGGAGAGCATGCAATCCCCCCTCCCAGCTGCTCCCATGCATGTGGCTTTTGGGAACTCCCAAGAACCACCAGAGCAGGTCCCATCCCATGCATGAGGCTCCTCTCGAGAATCCTCAAAAGCCACCAGAGCAGGTCCCATCCCAGTGCATTGCAAGGTGGAGCAGGTTGGATGGGATGAGACGCACCGACGAAGCGGAACGTGGAAAATAAATACAAGAGGCAATGATAAGAAGAAACCATGGGAAGAACAGCATGGCAGTGCATGGAGGAGAGCAAAAACAGGGCGCAACAAGAAAAGGCTCACATATGAGGCGATATGCAGGCGAGAGACAGGAGAAGGCGAGCAGGTAGAGGCTGAACCAGAGGCATCTTTTGAGGTGCCTTTTAAGTCATCTAAAAAGGAAAAGGCTCACATATGAGGCGATATGCAGGCGAGAGGCCGGAGAAGGTGAGCAGGTAGAGGCCGAACCAGAGGAGGATCTCCCCAAAGTAGTTTGGGTGCTGGCTCCAACTGCCAATCCGATGGGGAGAGCACATGCAGCGATACGACTTGTGAGTTGACTGAACCTTTCTACAACGCAGTTTGGGTGCTGACTTTAGAAGGAGAACCTACAAGGAGAACCCAGAAGACATTTCCTTGAGGAAACCAGAGCAAAACACGCTGAGCCATCCTAATAGGCATGCGATGCGAACACAGTACCTCCATAGACCAGTGGATATCCACCTGCCCTCGTTCTCCTGTCTCAGGCTGAAGCTGCAGTGGAAGGGAGGGGCGAGGGGGAAGGAGCACAAGGAGGTACAACACAAGCAGTTGAACACAAGTGAGTTGGGATTGAACAAGCTTAGGGTGCTTCAGCTTAGGGTAAGAAGGGCAGGGCGAGGGGGAAGGAGCACAAGGAGGTAAGGATGGAGAGAGATAGGTAGGCGGGGAGCAAGAGAGTGAGGGGGAAGGGGAGAGAGGGACGAATAGAGAGAGGGATCGAGAACGAGGGGGAGAACGAAGCAAGGGGACAGTGGGGGAAGCAAGCAGGTGAGGAAGACAAATCAGTGTTTTCGGGTCTAGGGTACTTCAGAAAATTCTTACTGGATGTTCTCAGCACAATCACATCCCCCAAGCACACAAAATCTCCATAAACCATCTGCACACGCTCCCTTTTACTTCACCTGTAAACAATCCAGCAGTGTTCACTTCATTTGCATTACCTGCTTGTGTTCTCGTGCGCCTCATTTGTGTTCACTTCCAATTCTGATGAGTCCCAAAAGAATTGCTTCACCATTGGTACCTTCACCTAGCACCACTTTGTCGACGCCGTTACAAAACCGTTCCACCTACAGTAACTTCTGATGGTCTGATATGGTCTCAATGAGGAAGCCAGTGAGCCATATAGCCATTCCTGCAGCAGTCAATAACGGGTATGAGCCATGCATGAGGACAAAAACGGGTTATTTCACAACATGGCAAGCAACGCTTGTAGCAAAAAGCGCAGCTACCTACGTGACACGTTTGTAGCAGAGAGTGCAGCTCACATGACACATCTGTAGCAGAGAGTGCAGCTCACATGACACATCTGTAGCAGAGAGTGCAGCTCACATGACACATCTGTAGCAGAGAGTGCAGCTCACATGACACATCTGTAGCAGAGAGTGCAGCTCACATGACACATCTGTAGCAGAGAGTGCAGCTCACATGACACATCTGTAGCCGAAATTACAGCCCCTCACATGACATTTTGCAGAAGAAACCACAGTGGCTCATCTGCCACGTCTACAGCAGAAAGCACAGCGGCTCACCTGCAACATCTGTAGCAGAGAGCACAGCTCCTTACCTGCCACGTCTGTAGCAGAGAGCCATTGCGGTTGAGGATGGGAGGCATTGAGAATGAGCAGCGGCAGCGAGACGAGCAGCACCCACATGCCCTGGGGGGGGGTGGCAATGGCAAGAGGTGGACGGACATGCGTTATCTCAATTCAGCTCCTGGCAGGCACGGGGGTGGTTGGTGTGGTGTGGGTGCTATTGAGAATGAGATGAGACACAGGGAGCGAGAAAAAGTCGGATGAGGCCGAGAGACGATGAGAAGCCACATGCGTCATTGTCAATCGTCTCTCTGTCTGCCACTGCCACATCGCTTCCCAGCGAGAGGCGATGAGAGGATGAGGAGGGTGTGGGATGGACGGATAAACATGCGTGATTTTGATCCCCACCTGCACAGCCCAGGACATCGTGAGGTAGATGGGCTGGGCTGGTTCCTGTGCGAGCAAGCACACATGGCCCAGGCCACACCTGCACCAGTGCTACCTACCTGCCGTGCACCAGTCCCCTCCTTACCTGCAACAGTCCCCACCTGCACCAGTCCCCACCCCACCTGCACAGTCCAGAACATACCTGCATCTGCATGCATTGCACTGCACCACTCCCCACCCCACCTGCACGGTCCAGAACATCATCAGGTAGATGAGCTGGTCCCTCACGCCACAACTGCACCAGTACCCACCTGCACCACACCTCATCCCCACCAGTTCCCACCTGCACCAGTCCCCTCCCCACCTGCTCCCCACCCACCTGCACGGTCCAGAACATCATGAGGTAGATGGGCTGGTCCCGCACGCCATCGAACCGAGAGTCCTTCCCCCTCTGCCACGAACCGGTGGGGAGGTGAAAAGGGCGAGCGCAAGGCAGGAGAAGAGAAACAAACAGGCAAAGCGTGTGGGTGATGGAATGGAACGGTGGTGCTTGTATCACGTCTGAGAATTCTCAAAGGTGATAATACACGCACACGCAAGCAGGAGAAGGAAACGGGCAAAGAGTGCAGCACAGGAATGTATGGGAGTGGATACCCAACCCAGTAGGTTGGAGCGAATCTTGAATGATTCAGAAACGCTTGAGCCGATTTAGAGGCGCAGGCGGAGGCGGAGGGGGAAGGTAAAAGGGGAGGCAGAGGCGGAAGGGGAAGGTAAAGGCGGAGGCAAGGGGAAGGAAAACGGGGAGGCAGAGGCGAAAGGGGAAGGTAAAGGGGGAGGCAGAGGCGAAGGGGGAAGGTAAAGAGGGAAGCAGAGGCGAAGGGGGAAGGTAAAGTCGGAAGTGGAAGGAGAGAGGGGAGGCAGCAAGGAGGTGCATGGCGCAGAGGAGGAGGGGGACTTACCCGGAGGATACGGGTGAAGAGGAATGTTCCAAGACGAACGGCCCAGATTGAAACGAGCGATGATGCCACCACCTGATGGTGAGTCGGGGGGGGGGGTGGGGGGTTGGGGGTCATGGAGCGGATCGAACGTGATTGCAACGAGGCGTCAGACAAAGTTTAGGTTGTGACTACAACGAGGCATCACCGCGAACAGAATAATGAACTGTATGTGATTACAGAAATTGATGAGGGAGCAAATCGAAGGTTCAGTGGATGGAAAGCAGAGCGTGGATTCTAAATCAACTCCACGAGCGATGATACTAGGAGATTTCCGAGGCTCCTAAAAGGTTAAGTCTGAGTTTAAATTCGAGAAAAAAAAGCTATGCACAAGAGAGCGATTTTGAGGGGTACACGATAGATAGATCCCAGAAGGTCGGTAAATGGAGAGGTAGATTCAAGAAAGCAACGAAATTACTTGTCTCTGGTGCAGCGAGCCGCCTATCGCGAGGGAGAGGAAGGCGCCGAGAAGGAACGTGCAGGATCCGGTCAAATCAAAGAAAAGCTCGGTCTGAATGGGTATTAACGGGAATGCGGGAAAAAGAGGAAGGGTTTGGTTGGCTGAACCGCCGCTAAAATGGCAATAATCGAAGGCAAGGCTTTTATGTCTGGTGCTGGCTTGCAGACGAGAAGAATATGGAATTCGCGGAGATAACCAGACCTGGTAAACTGCGGAAAAGATGCACGCAGTCCACTGGATTGCGAAATCGAGGAGAACGAACCAGAAAATGACTGCTGCGGGCCTGCTGTTTCCGTGCGACATGGCTGCTGGGGTGATGGACTCAGGAACACAGCGGAGTCAGCCAGACGGAAACTAAATGCCAAATGCCCCAGCCAATATACGCGTTATCACCCACTCACAGGATCCGGATTGAATTAGCGAATTAGTGCCGTGTATCGCATTGGGGGGTGGAGGATAGCCAAATTGCTGTCGCCAACAAATACAATTCTTCTCATCGCGTGAAAAAACGAAATGCCGCGTAGCTAGATTTGCTCCTAGGGTTCTGTTTTCCAAACAGCAGCTCCATCCCCAAACCCGAAAGCCGTGTCTGCAGAATTCAGTTCAGTCTCTACAGTGCACCGAAGCGGGTTCACGAACCCCTGGGTTCGTTGCGGGGTGTCAGGCAACTTCGGCAGTTCCAGGGCTTGGTTGGGAACCAATCTGCTAGGGTGATGACACCCCCATCGGGAAAAAAGAGACGTCCGTGCCATCATATTTCGTTGCCGAGCCTCGGCCTGTGGCATGGGTGGAAAACAATCCCTCAATACTGACGATTGTCGTTATTACTGGGGCGTTTGGCTCTAGAGAACGACTTGAACGTCAGTGGTGCCAGCGCAGAACAACACGCGGCTGCACTGTACAGTTTGGCCGTGTAACATTATCCTTTAACGACCGTTAGTCACGCGTTAAGCTCCTACCGAGTACACTAACGCGGCAGGAAAGAGTATACTGTACTATCGTAACTAACCGGCAGTTCACCAGCTGATCAGTCTCGGTCTTTTGTCAGCCACATTCGCTCGCATGATTCTAACACTATTAATCTCGTCAAGAAAAGGAGGTAAATTTGTTTTGTTGCATAGTGCCTTTGAATCAGTGCTTAGTCCAGCAATCTCGCAGCAGCCGCGGTCAAGTCGATGACGAACATTCAGAGAGGCGGGTGCTGAAAGAGTTCTATTCAACGCTGAGAGTATCTGAGCTAGTAGTAGTACTACTCACTGTCATTTCCTCTTTTTTTCACATACTTGTATTGAATTCGTTGTCGATGGATCAGCATTCTCTTCACCGTACTTATCGGTACCCTCTCACTCGTAATGTCGCTGACTTGCCTCTCTCAAGTTTCATTCCGTTACAGGAGGGTTCGGAACAAGCTGTTACTAGCCCCCCGGGATCTCCGCTAACCGTCACCAACCCTAATATGATCCACCGTACAGCTGACCCAGTCGGCGACGGAAACTTCGCCGCTCGTGCCGAAGAGTTGTCGCGCGCGGCCATATTAGCGACGAATGCGTCGCCATACGACCATGCGAGAATTAGCGAGAACGCCGGATCCCTTCCACAACTCAAGGTTGACCACACTACAGCTAGCATGTCAAGAACGATCAAGGAAGAAATGGAGGTTGACGAGCCGCAAGCGCGAGGCAGCGAAGCAGTTAACAGGGGGGATAAGTCAGCGGTTGAAGCCGGTATGACTCTGTCCTTGTTCCCCTCCACCTCCCTTCCAACCAACCGTCCACTGGAAGCTAGTAATCATCATGCTGGCGCGACCCCTCCCGCCAGAACCACACTCAGCTCCGCACCTACTGCAGCAGAACCGCTGTACGGCGGTGGTGTGACCGGGGGAGGTGTGGCAGGCGGAGGTGTGACAGGCGGCGGTATCACAGGCGGAGGCGGGGGTGTAACAATTGGAGACAATTCAAGCGGAGCTATCCAGAGTGGCAGCAGCGGCGGCCGGGGGAGCAGCAGAGCAGCAGAGGCAGCAGCGGCGATGCCACATGCAGCAGCGACACAGGCAACAGCGGCACTGGCAGCGGCGGCACAGACAGCGCCACCACAGGCAGCCACGATACAGTTAGCGTCAGCACAGACAGCGACGACACAGGCGGCTATGACACAGGCGGCACATGTCGCTCAAACAGTCCTGTCCATGTCGCATGTCGTGCAGTCCAGCGGCCTCCCCTCAGGCGCGCAGCAGCAGCTTGTCAGCGCGCTCTCCCTACTCACTGGTTTTCTATCCACCCAGGGGGGAACCAGAGGAGGAGAAGGAGGAGGAAGGGGCACGGCTGCTGCTGCGGCTGGTTCGTCGAATCCGGCTTCAGGGGTTTCCTCTGGTGCAGCATTAGCAGTGGCCGCACCAGCAGCAACGGCACCAGCAGCAGCGGCAGGGACAGGGACAGGGACAGCATTGTCGATAGTATCAGCAGGTGCAGCCGCCGCAGCAGCAGGAACAACCACAGGTTCTGCACCGGAAGCAGCACCGGGTGCATTCCCTCGCGCCTCCACGCTTTCCAATGGTTTCTCCACCCTTGAGTCTATCCCAGCCCTCCCATCTAGCCCAGGGCCCCGATCTAGCCCAGCCCTCCCAACTAGCCTAGTCCCCCGATCTAGCCCAGCCCTCCCAACTAGCCCAGGCCCCCGATCTAGCCCAGCACTCCCAACTAGCCCAGGCCCCCGATCTAGCCCAGCACTCCCAACTAGCCCAGGCCCCCGATCTAGCCCAGGCCCCCGATCTAGCCCAGGCCCCCGATCTAGCCCTGCCCTCCCGTCTAGACCAGCCCCCCATCGAAACACCAACACACAAACTTTCGCTGCGTTGGCTGTCCCCACTAGTACCGACTCTTCTCCTCAACTCCAGCACTTACTTCAAATCCTGGAGGACGGGTCAAGAACCGGCGAGCTTCTAGCCGCTAAGAACCACGCCCGCCTCACCCACTACCTCTCCCAAGCCTCGAAGCTCCTCTCCAGCCTCGGCAGGCAGAGCGCCGGCGCCAACCTGAGCCTGCTTGCCAGCCTCGGTGGCGACCCTCGTGGTTCCGTAGCCAATCAGATCCGGACAAATGGCAGTACACTGGGTGCGGACCCTGCTGCTGCTGCTCCGGCTGCGCCTGCTCCTACTGCTGCCTCGGCTGCTGCTAGTGCACAGGAAGGTTTGGGCGGCGGGGGTCCCATATCAAAGATGCTAGACGTGGCGGCAGCAGCAGCAGCGGCAGCAGTGGTCATGGCAGCAGCAGCCGTCAGAGAGGAAACAGAATCCGCTGAACTTCCTGCAGCATCTGCTGCCTCTGCTCCAGCTGCTGCCTCTGCTCCTGCCGTAGCTTCAGCCCCTGCCCCACCTACCGCTGCTGCCTCTGATAACGCTTTCGGTGCTACTGGAATGACAACGGGGAGTGGTGTTTCAGGAGCTGCTGCGACGCTAAAGTCTACGTCTTCCCCCGCGCCAGCTGTCACTGCGGTGAACCTTCCAGGCGCAGCAGCAACCCTAGTGCCTCCATCCGTTCCTCTCCCTCCTCCTCCTCCTGACGTTGCTCTTCTGCCGTATCATCCGGCCATTGCTCCTGTACCAGCTGGTGCCCTTGCACCCACCGTAACTCCTCCGCTTGCTGCCTCTACACCTAATTTAGCTCCCAGCGCCTTCCCTTTCGAAGCGCTCGCCCGGTCTCTCAACCTTGGGGGGCTTCAATCCCAGCCCAGCCTCTCCTCTCTCCCTGCCCTCCTGGCTGCTATCTCCGCCCTCCAGCAAGGCAACAGCCTCCAGCAAGGCAACAGCTTGCAGCAAGCCGCAGCACCTGCATCAGAGCATCAGGGCGCGAGCAGCGGATCAGGTCAGGGGCAGGGGCTGGTGCAGCAGGGGCAGGGGCAGGCGCAGGCGCAGGCGCAGGGGGAGAAGCAGGGGCAGGGGGAGAAGCAGGGGCAGGGGCAGGGGCAGGGGCAGGGGCAGGGGCAGGGGCAGGGGCAGGGGCAGGGGCAGGGGCAGATGGGACAGGGGCAGAGGGAGAAGGAGAGGGAGGGACAGGGGCAGGGACAAGGCCACGGGCAGGAACAGTTGCAGGGGCAGGGGCAGGGGCAGGGGCAGGGGCAGGGGCAGGGGCAGGGGCAGGGGCAGGGGCAGGGGCAGGGGCAGGGGCAGGAGCAGGAGCAGTTCCAGAAGCAGCATCAGCTAATTCGAGCCGTGTCCTTGCCCGGCCCTGCTCCCTCCCGCTTCTTCCCATCTGTTCCTCGTGACCTGTACAAAGCCTCCTTCCCGTCGCCCCACTCCCCTTCCACCCTCGCTGCTGCCGCTACCACTGCTGGTGCTGCTGGTTCTGGTGCTGGTTCTGCTGATGCTGCGATTGCTGGGAGTGCAGCAGGGGACATGAGAGGGGAGGGAGGTGGAGGGGGAGGAACAGGGGGTGTGGGAGGTGAGGGAGCAGCAGTGGCAGCAAGAGGGGGAGTTGTGGAGGGCTCTTTGGCTGGAAACTGGTCTACCAGTCGACTAGACGCACTGGCGCCTGCTGCTCTTAATATCCGAACCGAGCCACTCACCCCTCTCTCCCGTGCCGGCAGCTCCCTGACCTCACGCATAGGTTCGGGAAACGAATGGACGTGGGGACTAGGTACGGAAGCTGCTCCGGCTGCTGCTGCCGCTCCTTCCGCTGGTGCTGCTGCCACTGCTGGTGCTGGTACTGCTACTGCTGTTGCTGCCACTACTGCTGCTGCTACTGCTGCTGGGTCGTCTGCTGGTGCTACCCCATGCACGAGCAGCAGCAATCCCGCTGGTTCCAACACAGCGGCACCAGCAGCAGCAGGGCAACCCCCTCTCTGGCACGGCAGTCGCAGACAGCGGTTCCTGGCTCGACAGGAATCAGCATCAGCAGAGGCACTAGATGCATCAATCAACCCTAATTTCACCTCTTCACGCCTCAGGCGGCTTTGCTCGGCTGAAGCGGGGTTTGAGACGCCGCAGACCGTTGGATCGTCGTCCTCGCGGCTCCGACGGCTGGGATCGGCGGAGGGGTCGCGCCGCTTGGGGGATGCTCTGGGGGGAGGTGGGACTGGGAGAGGGGGAGGGGGGAGTGGGGGAGGGACAGGGGGGAGTGGGGGGAGTGGGACTGGTGCAGGTAGGAGCGGGGGAAGTGGGACCGGGACAGGGGCAGGGGGGAGTGGGGGAGGGGCAGTGGGGAGTGGCGGAGGGGCAGGGGTAGGGGGGAGCGGGGGGGGGGCAGGGGGGGGAAGTGGTTCTGGTGGCGGGGCGGGTGGGAGTGGGAGAGGGGCAGGGGGAAGTGGGGGCGGGGCAGGAGGGAGTGGGGGCGGGGCAGTGGGGAGTGGGGCGGGGGGAAGTGGAGGAGGGGCAGGTTGGAGTGGGGGAGGGGCAGGGGGGACTGCGGGAGGGGGAATTGCGGGAGTTGGGAGTGGGGGAGGGGCGAGGGGGTTAGAAGTGCTGGAGAGTCTGCGTGTGCGGCTGCGGCCGCAGCTGTCTGGACTGCTGCAGGAGCAGCAGGAGGCGGCGCTGCGACTGAAGCAGCTCCACACAATGCAGCAGCAGCAGCAGCAGCAGCCACATACTGCTGCTGCTACTGCGTCTGGTACTGCTTCTCCAGCTGCCCGTCCGTGCTCTCCTGCTGCTGCTGCTGCTGTTAACACTTCAGCTGCTGCGGCTGTTAACACTTCAGCTGCTGCTGTTACCAATTCAGCAGCAGCAGTAGTCCCCCCATTCTCTCCTCCCCTCAACAGCCCACCGTCTCAGCCACTCAGCAGGTTGCAGAGGGCGGGACCAAGCATAGACCGCTTGAATCTACACGGCCCTTCTGCTCTGCCTCCTGCCCCTCCTCCTCCTTCTTCTCCAGGGGAAACCCGCATGCGGGGGGAGTTGCAGCGGTCAGGGCCCAGTATAGACCGCCTCAACTTTCAGGGCGCTGCTTCTGCCATCCCTCCTCCCCCTCCTGCTTTTCCGCAGGGGGATCATCGTCCGGGGGGGCTGGAAAATGGGGGAGAGCAAAGGCCGGGCTTGCAAAGGTCCGGATTGCAGAGGGCAGGGCCAAGCATAGACCATCTGAATCTGGAGGCAGCAGGGTTGGCTTCTCGTGCTGCTGCACTGCAGAGGAATTTCGAGACGTCTCTAAAGCCCGGGCTGCAAAGCGCAGGGCCAAGCATAGACCATCTGAATCTGGAGGCAGCAGGGTTGGGTTCTCGGGCTGCTGCACTGCAGAGAGCAGGGCCGAGCATTGGCTCTTTGAGTTTTCAAGGGGGGGTTCCTCCCTACAGGGGAGGCTCAATCACTGGGGAGATTGCCCTACAGAGACTGGGCAGTGTGGGTAGCCCGTGGGAGCAGGGAGGCGGAGGAGTGGGAGGAGGGGAGAGAGGAGCAAGAGAAGGCGGGATAGTAGAGGGAATAGAGGCTGGAGCGCGGACGGGAGAGGCAGGAGGTTCTGAGGGAGTGGGGTGTGGGGGAAAGCGGGCATTCGGAGGAAGCATGCAGGGCGATGGCGGAGGTGGAGAGAGAGAGTGGAAGAGGGCTAGGGGTTTGATACGCAGCAATGGCGCTGGCACCACAGCCGATACTGCCAGTGCTGAATGTGATGCTGCTGCTGCTGCTGCTGCTGCTGGCGGCGGCGGCAATGTTCCATCCTATGGTGCCACTGCTGCTGCCCCCGGTGGGTTTTTTTTCAGTGGGAGACGAGCAGAAGAACGACCACCATCCCCTCCTCGGCCTCTCTTCTCCTTCCCCTCCGCCTCCCTCTCTCTTGACGATATCCCCTCAGCCGTCCCTGCCACCGCTGCCACCGGCGCTATTGATAAAGCCGAAGCTGGCCTCCGCTCCGCCGGACGTAGGCCGTCAGGCTTGGGACACTCAGGTTCGGAAAGCCCAGGTCTGGAGAATGGGAATCTGGAACGTAGAGCGAGCATGGGGTGTGAAGCTAACAGCATGGGTATTTTCAAGGGGGGAGGCTCGGGGTTTGGTTCAGGCATGGACATGGGGGCGGGTGAGCGAGGGAGTAGGGGGGGTGAGGGAGTGAGTGTGAGAGAAGGTGAGGGCAGAGGAGGAGGGGGAGGCAGCAGCAGGGTAGGGGCTAGTGGTACGGGTACTGCTGCTACAGCTGCTACAGCTGCTGCTGCTGCTCTTGGTGGTGCCCTTGCTGCTAGTCTAGGTGCTGCTAGTCCTAATGCTGCTTCTCTCGGTGCATCTGCTGGTGCTTCTGCTGCTGGTCCTGCTGGTGCCTCTGCTGGTGCTTCTGTTGCTGGTCCTGCTGGTGCCTCTGCTGGTGGTTTAGCCCGTTCTGGTAGGGCTGGTGGGCTGCTCCCTGCAAGTGGCTTTACTGGCACTGGATTGGGCGGCAGTAGGCTGGCCGGCAGCAGGTTGGGCGGCAATGGTCTGGGCGGCGGTGGGCTGGGCGGCAGTGGTCTGGGCGGCGGGGGCCTGGGCGGCGGCGGGCTGGGCGGTGGGCTGGGCGGTGGGTCGCGGTTGGCTCGTAGCGTGGTGTGGAGCAAGGACCAGCTGAAGGAGATTGAGCAGATGAAAGAAGCCATGGCTGATATGGACGAGGAGGGGGAGGCGGGAGGTGCAGCACCGGAAGCAAGAGCAGGGGAAGCACGGTTAGAGTTTGCTCCTAGGGCATGGGCTGGAGCAGGTGCGGGAGGAGGGGAGGGAGGGAGCAGTGGTGAAGGGGCAAGAGCAGCGGCAGGGGCGTGGCCTGGTGCTGATGCCTCTGCTGGCAATGCGTTGACTGGAGAGGGGGGCGGGAGGCGCCTGGAAAGAGGACGGAGCGGAGTGGGGAAAAGCGAAGCGTGGGAGGGGTTGCATAGAGAGGGGTTACAGAGAGGAGACAGTTTGGAGCTACTGAGGGGAAACAGTTCGGGATTAGACCTGTATTCGTTGGATGGGGTGGGGGATGAGGGGCAGGCAGGGGGCGGCAGGAATGAGGCAAGGTGGGGGAGCGATGGTGGGGAGGAGGGTGAGGGGATGGAGGGTGAGGGGATGGAGGGCGAAGGCATGGAGGAGGAGGATGACAGGGTTGATGGTCGAATTGATGGGAATGGTCTGGGCGGGCGGATGGAAGGGAATGGTTTAGGCGGGCCGGTGGATGGGTGTGCGAACCGCAAGCCAGGGCCGAAGCGGAAGGAGGGGCCAGTCAGCCACTTCTGCCAGAACGCACGGGTGAGTGCTGCTGCTGTCCGCGCAAGGCTGTGGTTCCCTCTCTCCCACACGCACACCTTTCTCTTTCCCCTCATAGTTGACGTGGAGGGAGCGGAAGCGGAGGGAGCGGCTGTCGAGGCACATCCGAGCGCTGGAGAAGCTAGGGCTCTCGTAGGGACTAAACAACACTGCCCCTACCCTCACTCCTCTCGTTCTTGTACCCACCTTCCCCCTCCCCTTCTCCAACCACCATTTCAGAAGCGGAGGGAGCGGCTGACGAGGCACATCCGGGCGTTGGAGAAGCTGGTGCCGCAGAGGGCCTGCAGCGACCCCACAGCAACACCTCCCCTCTCCCCTCCCACATCGGGGCGCTGGAGAAGCTGGTGCCTGAGAGGGCTCGCAGCAACCACACAACACTGCTCCTTCTCTCATTCCCCTCGTTCTTCTACCCCGTCCCCCTCCCCACAACCACCATTCCAGAAGCGGAGGGAGCGGCTGACGCGCCACATCCGGGCGTTGGAGAAGCTGGTGCCGCAGAGGGCCCGCAGCGATGCTGCCTCTGTTCTCGAGTCCGCCATCTCCTTCATCAAACGCCTCTCCCGGGAGAACCAGGTCAGCACAGTGCTTGCTTAGGCATGCGAGGTGGCTTGGAATTGCTGATACTTGAGGCTGTTCGAACTGCCTCTGTTCTCGAGTCCGCCATCTTCTTCAGCAAACTCCTCTCCCGGGAGAACCAGGTGCGTGATTGGCTGTGCTGGGCATGGGGAGTCCTTTGCAAGCGCCCTATGATTCCTTTCTCGAGTCTCCCATTACCTTCATCAAGAGCCTCTCATGAGAGAGCGATGTTCATGAGCTTCTCTCTCAGGCTCCCTTATGAGAGCCTGAGCGATGTTCATGAGCTTCTCTCTCAGGCTCCCTTATGAGAGCCTGAGCGATGTTCATGAGCTTCTCTCTCAGGCTCCCTTATGAGAGCCTGAGCGATGTTCATGAGCTTCTCTCTCAGGCACCAGCTGCGTGCTTTGCTGTGCTCCCTTAGGCACGCGGGGTGTTGTTTTGGATTGCTGATACTTGATTTGTTTCAAACTGTGCTCGTGCGCGAGTCCCTTCAACAAATGGCTTCCCCAGGAGAACCAGGTCGGAGCACTGCCTTTCTATGCCCACTCATGCAATGCACCACACTGTCCTTAGCATAGGTGGCAATGCCCACTCACCTGGTGGCAATGCCCACTCACCTGGTGGCAATGCCCACTCACCTGGTGGCAATGCCCACTCACCTGGTGGCAATGCCCACTCACCTGGTGGCAATGCCCACTCACCTGGTGGCAATGCCCACTCACCTGGTGGCAATGCCCACTCACCTGGTGGCAATGCCCACTCACCTGGTGGCAATGCCCACTCACCTGGTGGCAATGCCCACTCACCTGGTGGCAATGCCCACTCACCTGGTGGCAATGCCCACTCACCTGGTGGCAATGCCCACTCACTGCACCGCACGGTCCATAAACGATACAGCATAGGTGGCGATTCGTGAGGTGCCTTTGAAGTAGCTTATTAAGCCTGTCATGCCAGCACACCCTGCGCCACCATCCAGCAGTTTCCTCCTCCTTAACCCTTCTCTCTTTTCCACTTCTCCCCTCGCTATCACAGGAAGTGACTGCCGCTCAAATGCTCAAAGCTCATGTGAGACGTATCCAACGCACCCCGTGCTGACGCCCGCCAATTCTGCAGCTGACACTGCTGCTGCAGCATCTGCTGCTCGTGATCTTGTGTTTCACACTATTCCCTTTTCGTTTCCGCCCCCGTCTCCCTCCTCCTTCGCAATATTTGCGCTAGGATACGAAGTGACAACCTCTGGTCCTCATCTGAGACCAAGCCAGCTTTTGAGACGTATCAAAAACCTTCGCTATATCTGCGCTAGGAAGTGACAAAATCCGTCATCTGAGACCCAGCCAGCGCAATCCATCTCAACACCTGCCGATTTTCCCCCTCCCGTTTCTCCTCTTGCCATTCTCCATCACAGTATCCATGCAAGGAAGTGGCGACTTTCCGGTCCTCATCTGCAACCCAGCCGGCACACTCCACGATAACACATGCCCCATTCTCCCCCTCCCTACCCATTCCCCTTCCCCCTTTCCCCATCACAGGACCTGCGCAAGGAAGTGTCGATGCGCAGGCCTTCATCTGAGGCCCAGGCAGCACAACCCATCCCAACACCTGCCGATTCCCCTACTACCCCTTCTTCTCTCCCCCCTCTCTATCACAGGACCTGCGCAGGGAGATGGCGACGCTCCGGCCTTCATGTGAGGCCCAGCCGGCACAACCATCCAAACTCCTGCCAACTCTCCCCCTCCCCTTTGTCCCTTCCCCCTTCCCCTCTCCGCCCTCTCCATCACAGGATCTGCGCAGGGAAGTGGCGACGCTCCGGCCTTCATCTGAGGCCCAGCCGGCACACCTCATGCCAACCCCTCTCCTCGCTGCCACTGCTGCTGCGACTGGTACTGGTACTGCTTCGGCTTCTGCTGTTCTCGATGCCTCTCCTGCCTCTGCTGCTGCGTTGGGTTCCCTGACAATCCCGATGGATCCCTCTAGTCGTGCACTTGTCGCTTCTTCTGCCGCTGCCGCTGCTGGTATTGCTGCTGCTGCTGCTGCTGCTGCTGCCAGCCCTGTTTCTGCTTCTGCTTTTGCCCTTGGTCGTGGGTGTAGCAATGCACTCTCGGATCCCAGTTAATTGAGTTATGTACAGTGCATTGTCCTGTATTTTGCATCCATGGGAATGCAATGCAATGCTGTTGCGGCGAGAGTGGTTGGTGCGTGCTAATTGGTGGTTGTGCTACCCTTTTTCATGCAATGCGGGATACAATGGCCGATGTTGTTTTTGCAGTCCCAAATATGCAGTACAGGTTTCAGCCTATAAACCCTACATTCAGAATGATTGCTCGGCAAAATAAGGAGGCCTTTCGTGGAAAGCCTGCATCTAAATACCGGTAAGGTAATATTCTATGCTAGGTAACCACCTCCTACTAAATGGCGATTATCATATCCATAACAGAACCATTACCATGACCACAGTGTACCGTTTATCTCATACTTATGTCACCCTGCATGCACCTCGTCATTCAAACTTCGCAGGTCCATGACTGACGTCCTTCGTCTCCCCTCCTGACAACTTCAGCCATCAAGATTCTCCTGTCAGCTACTTTTCCTCCACGCTACCTAGAATTTTTCGTGTCGCTCCCCCGAAGCCTCGCTGACTCACAATGGCTCCTCGGCTCAATGAGGAGCTCACTGGCACGACTTTGCGTGAGGCGTCTGGCGGCATTGACATGGCCGTGTTAGCGATATTTCTCACGAATTTTCGTTATTTTAACCTTTGACATGCAGACAGACAGGCACGTGAGGTTACGACGTCGAGTTTGGATGAAGGTCGCTTCGAGCACACGACTGGTCGCGTGATCTTACAGTCAGGCGACGCGTTCGTCGTGTTCGAGAACCCTAATGGCAGTCACTGCCTACAGTCGGGCGGGAAGGGAACTCGTGCATGTCAGTTTCCCGACTCCCGCTAACCAAGAATGCGATGGGTTTTCCTTCTCTTGTCAGGAGTTGTCCAGGAGATGCCTGTCATTCCGATTGCCTTGTCGTTTTCGGTCCTAACGAATTCAGCTGCTTACTGCAATTGCAGGAAAAACTAAGTCCCTTCTAACCCGAGGCCCACGCAAAGAAGTGGTTCTGCTGTCCGAAATATCTTCCCGGTCAGGCTTGTGCCTCCACCGGTCACTGCCTGAAGACCCCATGCATGCACCCTCAACGTGATGAGGTTTCCTCAAACGTTTTCTGCGCGGTGCGGACCATCTTGTAAAGCCATCCATCTGCCGCCGACCCATATCGCGAGTCGGCATTCCTGCCTGATCCTTGCGACGCCTGCAATCCCCAACTCTACAAGATTGAAGTTGAAGATATGATTCTCGTCAACTTTCATTTGTTGGGTTTCAACATCAGGCATATCACTTCGGTGCTGCTTGCTCATACACGTACTAGCCGGAAATCCGCTCGAAGACGCAAGCTTCGGAACAAGCAACATCTCCTCTTCAGTGAACGGCTTAACTGTAAGTTGACGACGAGACGCGAGAGGCGAGATTCGTGTTCTCCTTCCTAGACTTTGGAAGCCGATCCGACTTGGCTTTCCTTGTCGCCGCAACTTTGCTATCTCAACCGGACGCTTTTGTTTGCTTTCCAGCTTGCACGCTCAATCAAGACCCTACGTGGCTTCTTGTTGCAGTTCAGGAGGACGTAGCAAGGCCGTAACAGTCAGAAGTGAAGCTGGATCTCATTTGTTTCCGAGAAGGTTGCGACTGACTCGGTACGGAACTGAAGTTGGTGTCTGGCTAGGCGAACAATTTTGGCGCTGTAAATTTTTGAAAAAAACTGACTGATACGAACTTTGTAGTGAAGGGAGGCGAATTTGAGGCGCTTCGCGAGTATCCGCTCCTGTACAAGACCCCAGCCACACCTCTCGCTACTGGTGAGGAGTTTTGCAGCATGGATCCCACTCGAGAGCACGCGAATTCTGCAGCGTATTCTGCACCCCCTGCTCTCCCTCCTGCCTTCGCCGCTGCCGTTCAAATTACCGAACCCCCCCTTGCGTCTGCACCACTCGGCTCCGAACCACTTGTTGCTGGTCTTACTGCTGCTGCGACAGGGCTTTCTTTGTCAGAAGCACATCTCAATTCTTCATCCGGGCTATTTTCAGTTCCGGAAGGCTTTCGCTTTGCTGCTAAAGCTTTGACGTCGCCAGGGCTTCTGGCTGTACTAAATGAGCCTGTATCCCCGTTAAAAGCACACTGCCCTATGGCTGTAGCTCCCCATGCGTCACTGGAGTGTACTGCGGAGAGTAACCTGGCTCGTAGCCTAACCAACAGCCGCAGCAGGAAGGCACGGGAGAACCTGCAGCTGCAACCGCACGAGGAGTTTGAGAAGCTTCCAGGAACGAGGGAGATTGAGCATGCGAGAGGAGGAGGAAATGGAGGAGGAAGAGGAGGAGGACGAGGAGGAGGGAGAGGAGGAGGGAGAGGAGGAGGAAAAGGTGTAGGGAGAGTTGTGGGAAGCAGGGAATCCGGAGGTGTTATTGAAAAGAGGGACGGTTCCTTGGCTGGAGAGGGAGGGAGAGCAAGGGGTATGAGCATAGAGCAGCTTGAGGCAGAGGCTGGGAGGACAGACGCTCGGCCTGATGGTGTTAAGAGAAGTTCTTGGCTAAGTGGCAGTAGAATCAGGAAACGGGGGAATCCCAGGAAGCAGCAACGGGTGCTTCCCAGCGAGGACGAGGTGAGGGAGGCTGCTACTGATTGGCCAACGTTTGGGGCCACTTTGAGACGAGCTCTAGGGGTGGGAGGGGCTGGGGGGGATGATAGAGCAGGGCAGGGGGCAGGGGTATTGCAAACAGGAGCCGCAGTTGAAGGAGCAGCGGCAGCAGGAGCAGCACTGGCAGGAGTGTTGGCAGCAGGACCAGCGCTGGCACATGGTTGGAGCTTCTGTGAAGGGCTGGGAGGAGCTGAAGGAGCAACAGGTTTGGCAGAGGACGAGGAACGGATGGTGCAGCAGGAGCAGCAGTCCGAAGCCCAAGGGGAGCTGCAACGAGGGTTGTTACAGCCACCCTCTCAGCAGCAGCTGCTGCAGCAGCAAGAGGAGCAGCAGCAACAGGTGGAGCAGCGGCAGAAGCTGCAGGAGCAGCAGCAATGTCCGCTGTTACCTACCACCAGAGTGCCAGGCATGGGAGGGCTGTGGAGGCAAGGGTGGCTTGGCGGCAGTCCCAAGGCGATGGACTATGAGTGCAGATTCTGCGGCAAGGGATTTGATTCTCCTCGGGCGCTTGGAGGGCACATGAATCTCCACAGGAAAGGTGAGGCAGGAGGATGTTTATTTGCGTGTGTGTGTGTGGGGGAGCGCGGAGGCATGCATGTGCATGGGTGGATGGGTGCATGGGTGCATGTGTGTGTGGGTACGGGTGGGTGTGCGTTTCCCTGTGAGTGCGGCGCGCGTGCGCGGGTGTGTGTGGATTGCAAAGGCCCTTTCGATTGTTGGGAAGTTCTGGTCATTTGTCCACATCCTCACTCCTTAGGCTTTAACCCGATCCCCATCTCGCTTTTCCTTTTCGCAATTTGTTCGTGATGATGTTACCCCTTGCAGTTTTGGTGGTTGTTGTGCGGCTTGATCATTCACCCTCATTGCCATCGTTTTGCGTGCTGTAGTGGCCTGATGCGCACTCATTTCACTCAGTGCACTCATCGCAATCGGTGCACTCCTTGTGCTGCTTGTTTTTGCGAATTCTTAAAAACCAGCTCGGTGCACTCCTTGTGCTGCTTGCACTCTTTGTTATTGTTGCATTCCTCACACTTTCTGTGCTCTTTGTTCTCGTTGCAATGTGCAATGACCAGAGCGCAAGCTGGAAGACACGTTTCTACAGGAGGCCGAGGCTCAAGCCCGGGCTGAGATACAGCTGCACCAGCAGCAACAGCTATAGCTGCTTCTGCAACAGCAACTGCAGCAGGAACAAGGTGTGCCGTTACACGTTCAGGAGCAGCCTCTAGTGCTGCAGAACCTGCAGAACCAGCAGCAGTGGCTGCCCCAACAGCAGCAGCAGCAGCAGCATGAGCTGCGCGAGCAGCAACTAGGTGTGCCGTTACACATTCAGGAGCAGCCGCTTGTGCTGCAGAACCTGCAGAACCAGCAGCAATGGCTGCTACAGCAGGCTAAGCAGCCACAGTTCCAACAGCAACAACTCGAGGAGTCGCTTCAGCAGCAGCAGCAGCAGCAGCAGCAGCAGCGACTGCGGATAGCAGCACAGACAAAACCGCTGCAACTGTCACCTGAGTTTTCCCCAAGGCAGCAACAGCAGCAGGCCATTTCTGGGGCACACCGTTTCTCCCATGGAGTATCCCACAGCACTGGAAGCCGAGCGTCTGCTGAGAGGCCACCACATGACCTGCCTGCTGCAATGGGTGCTCTTTCTGCCATGAATCAAGGCAGGTGGCCGGAGGAGCATATGCAGATTGATTCACAACAGCTGGAACAGCAGCTGCAGCAGCAGCAGCAGCAGCATGAGCAGAGGCATGAGAACCAGCGTCAAGAGCAGCTGCAGCTGCTGCAGCGTCACCTGCAGCAGCACCGGCAACTGCAGAGCCTGCAGAAGCAGGAGCAGCGACAGCTGCAGTGGCAGCAGCATCAGCAAGAAGAGCAGCCGCAGCAGCAGCAGCAGCAGCAAATGCTGCAGCAAATGCATCAACATCATCAGCAGCAGCGGGGGAATAAGCAATCAGGGTTCATCCAGCCAAGGCCAACTAAGGCTGTTCCCAGCAGGCCTCACCGGAACATGTCTTCGTCTCTTCCCCACACTCCCACGACCAAACCCCCTCACACTCCCTCATGGCCTCCCACCCAGCCTCCCATGGGCCCCTCCACCCACTCCAACCCATCCCCACCGCACCATCCACTCCTCCCTCCTCCTTCTGCCGATCCCTTTCTCTCCACCCTCTCCCCGGAGGTCCTTCAGTCTCTCTTCCTCCGCACCTTCCCCCCTGAAACAGCCCCTGCTGTCCCTGTAACACCTTGTGCGGTTACCACCGCATCCTCTTTCGCACCTGCCCATCCTGCTTCTGTTCCTCCCTCGCTTCCGCGCCTGCCTCCTGCTGCAATACCACCACTTTCCCTACCGCCAGTTGCCATTCCACCAGTTACCACCTTTTCTCAGCATCAGTCCCATCTTGCCCCACCTGTACCCACTAGTCAGCTGGAAGCAATACCACCTGAACTGCTGGCAGCCTGGGTTACATCTTCTGTACTCCCAGATGGCGTTACATCTGGCATTACAGCTGGGCGGCCAGTGTCCGCTCCGCCTGTAGCAGCAGGCGAGCAGGAGAAGGAGAGACTTGCGGGGGGGACGCAGCAGCAGCTGCAGCAGAAGGTGTTGAATCAAGAAGAGCAGCAGGAGCGGTGGTGGCAGCAGCAGCAGCAACAGCAGAAAGCTTCAAATCAAGAGCAGCAGCAACAGTGGTGGCAGCAGCAGGAGCAGATGACAGGAAAAGGGGATTCTTTGCGAGAACGGTCAGCAGCAGGGGCAGGGGCAGGCCCAGAGCCAATGGAGAGAACTGGTGGGGATGATGTGTCATGGCTGCGACCACATAGGCGGCAGCTTGACCTGCAGCAGCAGCAGCAGCAGCGGCAGCAGCAGCAACAGCAGCAGGAGGAGTTGTTGAGTCAGCTGTTGGCCCTCGCAGAGCAGCAAGCACAGCCAGGCGTGGGTAGGGTGTTGGAGCAACAAGGGAAGACAGGGCAGCAGCTGCAAGGGGGTAGCAGTCAAGCAGAAGCATGTGTGGGGCCACAGCATGCTGCCCAGGGAGCAGTGGGAGCAGTGGGAGCAGTGGGAGGGGTGGGAGCAGTGGGAGGAGGAGAGAGGACGTTGCATGGTCTCGGTGACTTGGATTGGCCACTTGCAGCCTCGCACCTCCTTGGCCTCACTAAGCCTGCTGTGTCTATTCCAGCAGTGGCTCTTCCCGATGTGACTATGCCCATTGAGACTACTCCTGATGTGGCTATTCCTGATGCGACTCTGCCTGCCGTAACTGTGTCTGCTGCTGGCACCCTGCCTGACTCTTCTCCTGCCATTCCTTATCTCACCTCTGGGCCTCTTGCCTCTGCTATTGCTTCTGCTCTTGCTGCGGTTAAGCCTTCCGCATTTATGCCTTCCCTACTTCAGCCTCCTCTGGTTACGCTTTCACTGGTCAGGCCTCCAGTGCTTGCTGGATCTGCCGTTTCAACTCCTGCTACCACTGCTCCCCTGTACACTCCACAGTACGGATCTTCAGCTGGTGGTGGCGTTACATCTCATTGTCCTTCACGTGCTGCCATTCCTCCTCCTGAAGTCCATGCCCGGTCGATTCCACCTGCCTCCATCCCACCACGCCAGCAGCAGTCCTTCTCCTCCTTGCAGCCGCCTGTCTTTCTCCCTCAGCCCAACTTGGCGCAGCAGCAGCTGCAGGAGCAACAGCAGCCACGGACCACTGGGTTCACCTTTGACCAGCAACAGCAGCAGCCATTGACCTCTCAGCCTACCTTTGCCCATCAGCAGCAGCAGCAGCAGCAGCCTCAGCAGCAGCAGCAGCCTTTGAAATCTCGGCCTGTCATGAGCCAGCAGCAGGAGGCTGGTGCTCTGACAGGGCAGCCATTGCAAGGGGAGAATGCAGGAGGGACTGAGGAGGGCGAGCTGGCACAGCTGGAACAGCTCCGCCAGTTGCTGCTCTTACAGGAGCAGCTTATAAGGGATCAACCAGGAAAGGAGGAACTTCAGCTGGGGATGCAGGGGTTGGTGGAAATGAATGGTGTGGATTGGTGTGGGGACTTGAGTCAGCAGGTGGAGAGAGAGGGGGGAGTGGCAGTAGGGCGTGAGGGACAGTGCCGGTCAGAGGAATAGAGGCAGCACTGTCAGCTGGGAGGGAGAACTGAATGTTGGTAGGATTGTCTTTAACTTTTAATTGATGTTTTGTTTGCATGTTTGGCCTGACATTTGTTGGGCCTTGTATATACTCGTTATGTGGGGGCTTTCCTTAGTAATGCTTGTTTCTTGCAGAATTTTTAGCAGCACTTAGGTCTTGTAGCAAAGAAGTGGATTAACCAAACATCTGGAACATGAGGCATAGAAGGTCTCCATTTTTTTTTTATTAGTGTAAAACAGCCAATAAAATATTTGCTTCAATCATTAATGATATAGAAACAGCTACTTCTGTAGAGCTTGTACCGTATATAATAATAATGAAACAACTCAACTCGGGGTGCTACATGCATCTTACAGTCTGTGCAATATAAGCCAGATCTACTATAACGTGAACGTTCACACAGCTGCTACTTGTCGTCGCCATGCAAGTCCCAGCACTACGCGATTTCTGCAAGACGTAAAGCTGCAATTCAATTCTACGCCGTGCGTCCTACCCACATGCTTCTCACATGGGGTACCACAGTAATAGAGTTGTCAGAAACTACCTTAGCAGACACTGCACTTGCTTGCTGCTCCATGTCTTTATTGTTGCTTCCCGAATCTTCCCTTGCTTGACGCGATGATTACTTCACGGTCGAAAGCGAAATTCTCTAGGAATAGCAAGGCGCCTGGTACCCTGATTTTGCCTCGACCTCTCGCGTCGGCAGGCGGCGTTCCCGTTCCTGCTTGACCTTACGCCTCCGCGACGGTCCCCATGCTCATTCTCAAACTCGCTGTTGAATTACCCGTTTTCGTGTGCATGAGACGCCAGATACATTGTAATTTATCAGATCAGAACCCAGCTGTTAACATTCTCCTTCTCCGTGTTTCTGCAGCCATGAACGGAGCCTTTTTAGCGGTGCCTTCTATCAGCGCGCTCCATCTGCTCTCTCTCCCAGGCTTCCCTGCAGCGATTCACAGCAGCGCATGCATCATTGCTTGTTTTAATGCCGTCGAGTATAGCGCTTCATGATGCTGAGAGCACAGGACATTCTAGGCGTTAGACGATGGTTTTATTGAGGGGACGTGCCATGACAGGTAAAGCTTAGTCGGGTTATAGAGGAGCACTTACTTCTGTTCTTTATTTCAGTCCCTGGAGGTGCGTAAACTGCTAACTTCTTTCGCTTTTGTTGTGTCAGAAAGCGGAATAACAACATCGTCTATTTCCAGCGAGAAGATCCCCAGCTGCACCGCACTGTTGCACGTCTCTCTCTCTCGACTAGCTCAACGGCATCATGGATCCTTCACATCCTGAACACGTGCCCCCGTAGAAGGTTGTAAGACAGAAAGAACTTTTACGGAGAACCACGCGCCTGCTGCAGAGGCTGCTACAACAGATTCTTTTGGCGGTTTGGCTGCTGCAACGTCAGCAGCGTACTTCACACTCCCAGCTCTCCCCTCCGCCTCTCCCGCTGCTGGTCCTTCCCAGCAGCCTTCCGTTGCGTCTGCTAGCTCTGCACCGATCATCACCGATTTCTTTAATGTGCCACGCATTGGGGAATTCTGGCGGGGAAGGAGGCCAGGAACAGGCTCCGAAGCAGATCTTCAGGAGATGTTCTGTGGGAGGGGATTTAATATCTCTCCAGCGCATCGAGGCCACATGAATTTGGACAGGAGAGGTGAGGGAGGCTGCATGTGCGAAGATTGGAAGTTACAACTTTCTTTATTCTTACTAACTTGTGCTCACCTTTTCCTGTTGCGTATGCTTCGTTGTGGCAATATGTGGTGGCCAGTGAGGGAGGTGGAAGAAGCTTATCTGCAACAGGCAGAGGCAAAAGCCTGGAATGAAGCACAGTTGCATTGGCAGCAGGAGCAGCAGCAGCTCCTGCAGCAACAACGCGAGCTGCAGCAACATCAGCAGCAGCAGCTACAGGACTTGTACCAGCAACACCAGCAGCAAGAGCTTCAACTGCAGCTGATGCAGCAGCAGCAAGAAAAGCGGCAGCAGCATCAGCAGCACCAACGTGAAGAGCAACAGCAACATCAGCAGCAGAAGCAACGCTCACATCTGCAGCAGCTGGCACAACAGCAGCAGCAGCAGTTGATGCTACAAGAACAGCAGCATCAGCAACAACGCTTGCAGCTACACCACCACCAGCAACAGCAACAACAGCTGATGCGGCATCAGCAAGAGCAACAGCAACAATGTCTGATGCAGCATCAGCAAGAGCAGCAGCAACAAAACTCGCAGCTACACCAAGAGGAGCAGCAGCAACAAGAAAGCCAGTGGCTTAAACAGCAGGAATTACAACAACTGTAGCAAGATCAGCAAGGCAATGAACAGTTGTTTCTGCAGCAGCAACTGCAATCAGCCGAAGTGAATACCAGCACCAACCGGAAGTGGCTGAATGGCAGAAGCAGCAGCAGCAGCAGCAGCAGCTGCCGCATCAGCAGCAGCAGGAGCAGCAGCAGAAGTCGAGCGCAACGCAGACATCCAACCACAATCAACAGATTTGTCTCACAGAATCATATGCTTTTTCTGCTAGGCGTCTTTCTTTCTGAGTATCAAATTAGTACCAGGTGCAGGGCTTCTTCTCGACTGGAGCTCTCCATCCTGGAAGAATCCGATTTCCATGTTGTATCATCGTGGGTGACACTTCCACTGCAACACAATGTCCGCTGGTGCATCATCCCGTTGCTAAGAAACAGAGGGAGACAACACACTGGCAGATGCAGAGCGTAAAAAAAGCAGTACTGGGGGGCAGTAAAACGTGGGAAGTATTTCTTGTCATTCATACAGGTGTTGAGCAAAGTTAGCTTCATTTATGGTGCCATGCCATGGCTACAATGTATTGCTGCTACTCGTCTCGACATCTGAGGTATGTGTCAAATGTTATTATAGGTTCTTAGGCTACACTGAGTAGCACTCTAGGGAGTACAACACTTTTAGGGTTGCTATTTGTATCCCTTGTTTCCCTAGTTCACACATTCCGTTGTTCGCTACTTTGAGGTGGTATCATGAGTAGGTGTCGATCCTCTCGCCTAGCCTAGCTAGCGCCCTAGCGCCCTCCGCACCCTTGCGTCCTTCGCACCCTTGCGCCCTCCGCGCCCTCCGCGCCCTCCGCGCCCTCCGCGCCATCTCCGCGCCATCTCCGCGCCTTAGCGCCCTCCTCCTCCGCGCGTTAGAGCCCTCAGCGCCCCTAGCCTGCGCCCCTAGCCCGTCGCCCAGGCGCCCGCCCTAGCCCGACGCCCAGGCGCCCGCCCTAGCCCGACGCCCAGGCGCCCGCCCTAGCCCGTCGCCCAGGCGCCCGCCCTAGCCCGTCGCCCAGGCGCCCGCCCTAGCCCGTCGCCCAGGCGCCCGCACCAGCCCGTCGCCCAGGCGCCCGCCCCAGCCCGTCGCCCAGGCGCCCGCCCCAGCCCGTCGCCCAGGCGCCCGCCCTAGCCCGTCGCCCAGGCGCCCGCCCTAGCCCGTCGCCCAGGCCCGCGCCCTAGCCCGTCGCCCAGGCGCCCGCCCTAGCCCGTCGCCCAGGCGCCCGCCCTAGCCCGTCGCCCAGGCCCGCGCCCTAGCCCGTCGCCCAGGCGCCCGCCCTAGCCCGTCGCCCAGGCGCCCGCTTTAGCCCGTCGCCCCAGCCCGCGCCCTGGCCCGTCGCCCCAGCCCCGCAGGCAGCGCGCCGCGCGGGCAGCGCGCCCCGCGGGTAGCGCGCCCCGCAGGCGGCGCGCCCCGCGGGTAGCGCGCCCCGCAGGCAGCACACCCTGCAGGCAGCGCGCCCCGGAGCGCTTTAGCGCCAGAAAAAAAAAAAAAAGGGTTTCGGGTGGGGGCCTGCAACTGTCGGCCGCGTTCCTGCTTGCCGGACGACCTGCACAGTTGCCTGCATCCCGCAACCGTCAGTACTGCAGCCCCTACTGTCGCACGTACGTTCCACTGCCAGTGGCTCTACTAGCGGCAGCCGACAGCCGCACCTACGGTCTCTAGCTCCGGCCGTTCCTACCTCCAGCCAGCCCTAGCTCGCCGTTTCTAGCTCCAGCCAGTTGTGCTCCAGCCGTTCTCGCTCCAGCCGTTCTCGCTCCTCGCTCGTAGCTCAGTTTGCTCCGTACTCCAGCCGTTCCTCGCCTAGTTTCACCTGTCGCTCCTAGCCTGCCGCTCCTGCACCCCGCTAGCTTTTATCATGGAGTCCACTAGGGTTCTCCAGCAGCAGGGACAGCAGCAGCGGCCGTTTCAGCAGTGGCTTCCGCAGCAGCAGGGGCGCCCTCAGCAGCTGTGGCGCCCTCAGCAGCCGTGGGGGGCTGGTGGTTCAGGTCGCGTTGGCTGCAGCAGCGGCCCAGCCAGCTGGGGGGCTCGTCGCGGTGGCCGCGACGTCGGCCCCTGCCAGTACCGGATCCTGACCGGCCCTGGCGCTGGCACTACCTGCTGGCGTCCTGACCACTCTGCACAGCGCTGCTACAGCCGCCTCGACGACCTTTACCGTGAGCGTTTTGGGCCTGAGTCGGCTCCCCCGATCTGGCCCGGTCTGTTTCGTAGTGGTTACCCTGTGTTTGATATGTCTATGGATGCTGTTTATTCTGTCACGTACGGATCTCTTGGCTTACGTGTACCTAGCTTAGGACCTTTGCCTGTTGCTAGTGTCGGTACTTGTGCTTTTAGTGTAGGTGCTTGTGTAGTCACTAGCCCGGCCGTGACGACTGCTGTTGCGTCGCTCTCCTTCACGCTGGACTCCGGCGCGTCTCAGTGCTTCTTCCGCGACCACACCACTGTCACACCTCTTTCGGCTCCAGTCCCAGTTGCCCTGGCTGATCCTACTTCAGGACCAGCAGTTGCTCGCAGCTCGACCACCCTCCCGTGCCCAGCTGTCCCCTCTGGTTTCCTCACTGGTCTCTACATCCCCTCGTTCTCTCGAAACTTGGTGGGTGTTGGATACCTTCAGGACCGGGGGATCACAGTCACTTTTCCTGCGCACGGGAGGACTGCGATCTGTACGGACTCTTCCACCGGGGCAGTTCTT